TACTTGTACATATATTTAATAACTACGAAAATATTTCATAATACCATTATTGAATTTCATGTTGATATTCGTATTAATAAAGTGGTGCTAGTAACATAAATGATAAAATTATTCTACAAAAGAAACCTAAAACTTACATGCATAATGTAAATAAAATAAAGCTAATAACTGATAACTGACCTAAATCGATATTATTAAGTCCAATTGAATTTATAACCATTTTTGAGTACTTCATATACTGTTATTGTGTTTACATACTTAAAGTAAGGTACCATGAGTTCCTTTAAATTATAGTGCATTTCTTGAAGCAGTTATTATATTTGAGCTTTGGCAGCAGGAATGAGTAAAGGGAAGTTGACCTAGAAGTGGGTTCTTGCTTAAAATCATTTTGTAACCATTTCAATGCTTTCGTAGTGATAATTCTTTTGGAAACACATAATTTGGAGTAAACGTTTTTAATCCATCGCAATAGTCGATGTCAAACTTAACACGAAAGATAAACTAAGACAGAAATGTGTTATTGTTTTCTTCTAGTTTTTGTATTTGTGACAACACGAGTATCGCGGTTGTTTTAGCTTTTGCCGGTATTCTGGTTTCACGCACGCGATTTCAACGAACGGGTCGACTTGATCAGACGTATCGGCATTTAAAATGCAAATTTTACGAATAAAGTCAGTTTAAAAGTTTTTAATTTCATTGAATTGACGCAACGTAAACATGAAATATCATAAATCTATAATTTACTATGAAAGTCCACAATGAAAGCTTCAAACATGTGGTCAATCCTCGTGCCTGAACATAAACACAAATATATGCGCATATGTATGTGGATTTTTTCAAAATATTTGCATAATCTCTGATTTGATTATTTTGACAAAACAAAATTAATTCGATTTGATGAATATGCATGTATGTAGATATGAGTGCCCGCTAATGAATTTATCTTTTTGGAAAATTTTTAGAAGCACCATTAGACGAAGAAACGAAACGTACTGAAATTCCAAATTATTTGAAAAATGTTTGCTGTCGCTGAAACAACAAGCTACTGAATGAGCTGTTTAACGATGTCAAATAATATTGTCAGATAAAAACCCGTTATCTAAGTTCAACAAACTAAATTTGGCTTTAACGCTCTGTTAAAAAAAAGAAAAAAAATTACTTAGAATAAATTGAAATAGCGGATGCATTACAACAGACCGACCCACGTTTTCCTTTCTGAAGTAAAAGAAAAAAATCCATTAAGTTTCAATCTAACAATATCTGTAAATGGATATGTGGTTGTATATATGTATGTACGTATGTATGTATGGCCATGAATTTTAGCGAGCGTTAAACGTCAATTGGTGAGCACGATTTTTCAAACGCGGCTCACAGCCGGTAGAAGAAAACTGACAAAAAAACAGATAAAATTATAATCGTAAAAATATTTAACATACCGTAATACGACATTCAAATTGCATCAGCTTTTATTATGGAGTTTTTTCTTTTTATTAAATGAAGTTTGTCGATAATTTTTTAATGAAGTAGTGATTGTTTGGAGGGCATGGAACAACCTGTATAATTAAACACAAAACGAATACAACGAACAAATGAATACTGAATAAAAGCAAACAAAAACAATTGATACAAGTAAGGAAGGGCTTAGTTCGGATAAAACTGAACATTTAATACTATTGCAACTTTGTAAGAATCAAAGCCGGCTTAATATCTTCAGGTGTTGACAAAATTTTATATAAAAGAAGTAAGGAAGCTCTAAGTTCGATGTAACCGAACATTTATACTCCCGCAAGGTAAAGGGATTTTCGTACGTATTTTAATTAAAAGTATGTACTTATTCAAAGTAAAGACACACTGCTATTATATAGAGATTTTTTCGGAATTTCATTAAGATTCCTTACATATTGACCGATAGATGGGGTTAAAGTTCGCAAATGTTTATATTAGGTATTTGGGGGCTTAGGAAAACATTGATCCGATTTTACCCATTTTTGGCACAAGACCATGTTGTTATCACAAGAACATTCTACCCGGATTTCAATACTAGAACTCATAGACTGACCCATAAGTTCGGTAAAAAATTGGCCATATGAACTTGTGTTCACATATTTGGTGTCTGGGTCCTTGAAAATTTACAATCCGATTTTGATAATTTTAAGTTATATTAAATTGCTTCAGAACACTATTTGTGCAGAGTTTTACCCTACCTAACCTAATAACTTCATTGCTGTTTGGTTTATGTACTGTAAACTGAAAGAAGCAGATAGAATTTAAAAAGTTATTATATGGGAAGTAGGCGTGGTTGTCAACCGATTCCGCCCATTTCCATAGTGTGCAATAGCAATGATAGGATAAGCTCACACACCAAGTTTGGTTGAAATTGGCTAAGTAGTTCCTGAGATACAGGATTTCACCTAAAAGTAGGCGGTGTCACGCCCATTGTCCAATTTTTAAAGCGACTCCCCTATATACTTTCCCTGCTCAAGTGCCCTCACCACTGAAATCCCCTGCACCAAATTACAGTTTTGTATCTTAATTTAGTGCTTGGTTATGACATTTTATAAGTTTTTGTTAATTGACGTTTTATCGGAGTGGTAGTGGTCCGATTGCGTCCATCTACCACACCCCCTATCTTGCCAAGGAATACGTGTCCCAAGTTTCATCTAGATATCTCAATTTTTACTCAAGTTATCGCTTGCACGGACAGACAGACGGACAGACAGTCACTCGGGTTTCAACTCCTCTCGTCACCCAGAACATACTATATATTTATATATTACTCCATATCTATCTCGATTAGTTTTAGGAGTTACAAAAAACCGTTAATTGAACAAAACTATTATACTCTGTTCAAAATGTTGCGAGAATATAAATATACACAACAAATAAATTATTTGGGTTGAAAGATACAGTGGCTTGCACGTCTAGACGGAAATGGTCAACAACAACAGGCAATATGAAAGTATATAAGTACACACTTTGAAATAACGAAATTCTTAAAAGCAATTAATTGTGCTGATTGTCTGATAAACCGATTGCTAGGAAAAGCGATTTTTATTTCCATTTTAATTACAGAGAAAATATGAGCTTCAAATACAGTGCAAGACGATATGTTTCAGCCATACTTTATATATCCGAGCACAATTTCATTTAAGTTAGAGAAATATTTAATAATTTTGTATATATAACGGAATTGTATAAACCAACTGTGAAATCTATCTAAATAAGTACTTTCCATCAGTATTGGAAAACGTTTTGATCTTAATCTGGAAGATCATACTTACTGGTCACTGTATATCGTGTGAATATTTCAATAAAACAACTTTTGCATTAAATAAATTATTACTTCACATTTATTAAATAAAATGTAGGTAGCATATGAGATTTAAACATACATATTTATGTAACGAGTAGATTTTGAAATCGCTTTTTCAGCCAGTTGGACTTTTTATTTGATACATATATTTGCAAGTGTACTATGTTTACATGACTGTACGTATATCCATGCGGCAAATAACTTTGCAACCCTTACTAATCATTGACCATAAAAGACCATATCCTTATAAGCAGATAATATTTTACCATGGTGATATCCTACGAGCAAACAGAAATATACTATATACTATATATATTATAGATATTAAATCTTTATAGCTTTTGTAGATATAATAATGGTTGTAAATACATCGCTTTATGTTTAGTACAAAACTGACCTTATCAGGTTTGGTTAATTTTTTACTCGGGATTTCTAGTGATAAACAGGAATTTCTTCTGGCTGGTTCAATATTTCTTTTCACTGTATGCACTGTATGTGCATGTGCACCTTAGGCACCGCATCACAGTCCAAATGTACATATTGATGTGCAATATATTCGAAAGCTTACTGTACTTATTTACAAATTTATAATTACAAAGTAGCTAAAGCAAAGCCGGTAACCACTTTTGGCTGTTATGCTCAGTGAAAGCAGTCATGCATATAGATTAGTGAGGTTAAATGATCATAATATTTACTTAAAAATATTGTTTCCTACATTAACGGTGAATTTTCTTGAATGGCAACAATTAAAAATACCCCACTGTGCTTAAGAGTTACACAATGGTATGGTATATACTCGTATGCACTTAAATGCATCTCTGGGTGGATTACGAATTTTAATTGTGTGCAAATTCACTACTTCAGACACTCAAAGACTTAAAGTGTTCTTATATCGTGCGTGATACACACACACCCATTTAAGTAAGTGAGTATTTACGTATATACTCGTTTCAAACATATTTAATAAGCAGCTGTTAGAATCAAAAGCGGCCGGTGGCAGGCGGTGTGCTAAAACAACAGAACGAAAGTGGAAAACTCATCATCACAAGCAACAAAAGATTTTAATCAAGAAAATATAAATGAAACTATAAAAACGCAATATTCGCACCACATTAATCATGATTCTGTACCTTATGGACCAGCGGAGAGGTGTTGCCGTCTCATGATTAATTTATTTACTCCTTTCATCATCACGGAACAGCCGGTGAACCGAAGGTGTTGCCACCGAACAGGTGTCTGTGGAGTCGATGATGTAATTAATGCATGTCTAACTAAATCACGAACTTGTTTGCACAAGCTTGCAAGCAAAGAACTTCATTTAGTACTTACTTGTTATTCCTACTATTTATGCATTTGGAATTCTGGTTTGCCACACGTGTCTAGAACTAATACTCGTGCAACACCAAGATCCTGAATGTTGCCCTCAAGCCCTTCTAAGCAAAAGGCGATTCTATAACAATAACTTACTTCCACGTTCACAAAGAACCAGATATTTTGTCTTTCCAATCCTGCTAAATTTGTGGTTCGAAAAAATTTGCTTCACACATACCTTTTCTTGTCCAATAGAGTTATATTTTTGTAAAAAACAATTATCTTCAATTTAATAATCAAAAATTATTGCTATTTCGTAGTGTGTTTAATTAGATATCGTCTTTTAATATACATACGTAAATATATTTTAGTCATGTACATAATATAATAAAGAATAAAATACTATCCACATGCATATTTACAAAGCATACCTTAAGACCACATTAACTACGATGATGAAAACTTATATTCGTAATAAGTAATTTACAATTAAGAAGAGTAACGTTATGCTATGCCAACCTCGACCGATTAATGTGTTGTATATAGTACTCGCACTCGATGTAGAATCGCTAACGCCCCCAACTTCGGATTGCTGTGTCATCGCATTAATTTGGGATTCATCTAATGTTGGCCGATAACTCCAATCGATCGTGTTAGTCTTGCAAATTTGCGCATAGACCTTGGCAGAGATCTTTGGCGTACGTGTACGGTTCGGATGATTGAAGTCAACGTGGTAGAGACCGAATTTCGCTCTAAAATGTGTAAGAAAGCAAACATATTGGCATTTTTGAACTAGTTTAATATTCTAGTTTCAACATAGTTTCCGAAAGCGTTCGTCAAAGCATAAAAGGTGGTTTAGAATACTTACGTATATCCAGATATCCACTCAAAGTTGTCCATCAAGCACCAAGGAACGTAGCCCTGTACATTCGCACCATCCTCAATGGCATCCAAAATGGCTGTAATTATTAACAAATATTCATTTGATAATATATTAAAACTATAAAAAAACAATCGTAATATAATTAGAAAGATATTTTAAAACACTATCAATAAGTGCAGCGTCAGCAAAATTGTTTGAATTTTATAAGAATTTTATCATCAATTAAGGCTTGCATTTATGATTTGTATATTATATGGATATATATCTAACTTACCGGATAGATAAGAGTTCAGATGATCAACGCGTGAATAATCTTCAAGACCGCCTTGGTCGCCTATGCCATTTTCAGTCACAATTACAGGAGGATTATCATATTCTCGCATGATCCACATGGTTAAATTGTACATGCCTTTAGGAACGACCTAAAATTTGTTATTGTAATTAAAAATGTTTTCATTACTAAACTTTGTGTATATTTTTGGAAAGCTGAAAATTGTGGATGGGTTACAAAAGGATTTATGCTCGCTTCATACTCATTAATTTGATTTTTATACCTAAGTCCTAATTTGCAAATATTTTCTTCTGCTGATGCCGAATTTCATTTGGTCTGTAGAATTTTGGTTGACAATACCCCTTTAACTGTTCGGCAGAACTTTTTTATTCGCTAATGCATACTCGTATTATCTCATTAACCTTATGAATCATCGTCATTATAACTTTGTTTAATAACGACTTTGCACTCAAAAGGACTTATTAATAATTTGAGTTGATTTTAGATATAATGCAAATTTACATCTTAACTAAATAAAAGTGCTTGTTTACCTATGCGTATATAAGATTCGTTTTCGCGTCTTCTTTTATTGCAATAATATATGTATACCTAATTGGAATTATAAATAGCAAACTTCTTCACCAATTCAAGATAACTCTGAATCGGTATTAGAAAGAAAAATCGAAATTTTGACTACTTTTGAACACATAAACAGATTGGAGCTTATGACGCAATAGTTGAAGCTGAGGATCCAGATTTACCAGATAATTTTAAATCCTCGGCTAGACCAGTACAAACTAAAACTATAAAAACCAATTGCAACTACTCCACATTCGAGAGTGGAGTTGTCACAAATACAATCACAAGGTGTCCGCAAGTGACAAAGATGTATTTCATAGGGAAACAATGTTGGTCTATTCGGGACATGTTTACTATATAAACCATATAAATCTATCACAAACAAAATTGTATAAACTCCGATACAAAAGTAAAGGAGGCATTAAGTAAAACAGTTCGCACTAAATGACAATAATTTCAATTTGGCTTGGGAAGCAAGATCCGAAAACGAATGAATATTGTTCGATATAGTAAACAAGTAACGATACTAATCAACTTGCTAAATATTCAAAAAGAAAGAAGTGAAGAATTTAATAAACTACAATTCATTGTTGTTGTTTTTCTTTGATAAATTATATTTCTAGTCAGATTTCGAAATCACACTAGCTTGGTCAGAATACCACTGCACCTTGCCACCACCTTCCTCCTCCAGAATCTTCCGATTATTGGCTACAAATTCCCCATTTTCAACATAATTGAAATGTTAATATAGAAATAAATGATCTGCATAAAATAAATATCTACATTTCTTAATCGAGCATTAATTCGTATAAACTCAATACAATTATTAATTCACAGAAATCGAACATTTACATTCTTTTCTAAATTAATATGTATAAGTTTTTAGTGAAAGGTAGAATATCTGTCTATCTATAATAAATATTTTCCGCATAAAATCGCACGATGGTCTGTTTTTAAGATAATAGAATAATTATCATTTAAATATGCTTATAGCTTATTTATATTTAGAATTTACAAAAACTATATTCTTCAATTTCAGAAATAAAAATTTATTCGAGTAAAATTTAAGTTTCACCTACCTTCAACCACGATATACTCGAACCGGTCCAGCTCGGATCTTGTTCCTGTATAACGCCCTTATCGTGATTATATGATGGGATTGGATAATTTAAAGTATTGTTTTGATCGTTTGGTCTCACTAGGTAAGTTGTGTACGAATTGAGACCAAAGAAATCCGCAGTTCCGCGTATACGAATTACTTCTTCATCTGTGAATTCCGGCAAACGTGAACGAGTGAAACCCTGTTCTTTGCTCAAATTGCCAATGCGCTCGACCATAACTTGCGGATAGTTGCCAAGTTTCGAATATATTGGATGTGCAAACCAGCCCAAATGGAATTGCATAGCATACTCAGCCGCTTCACGATCAGTAACCGAATCGGTTTTTGGTTCCATCCACTCTGTGTGCAAAGTAATACCGATTTTACCCTTCTGTAGTTCCTGATAGTTCTCACGGTACATATGCACTACTTCGGCATGTGCCTTCAGAATATTGTGTGCACAGAGATAGTTCGGAATTCCAGGATAATCATATGAGGGTGGCACAACATCCGTACCATAACCCGCTTCACATACATTGGTAGGTTCATTAAATGTTGTCCAAATTTTAACACGATCACCAAAATTCTCGAACAATAAACGCGCATAATCGTTATATACAGGTATAATTTCGGGATTGGTCCAACCACCCAATTCTTGTAAACGTTGTGGTAGATCCCAGTGATAGGTTGTGACCATTGGTGTGATATTATAGTGCAGAAGCTCGTTAATTAGGTCATTGTAGTAGCGTATGCCTTCACTATTCACATCATTCATATAGCCTCCGGGCATTATGCGGGTCCACGCTATCGAAAATCGGTACACACTTACGTTTAAGTCACGCACCATTTGTACATCGCGACGCCACTGTGCGGAGAGACATAGGAAATTATAATGAAAGTAGCATACTCGAGTCAAAAAGCTGTATCCACTTTAAATTGTAACATAAAAACACCCAGATAAGAATTTTGGACTGTGGTGTCCCAGGGAAATAATGTTGCTCAGTAAAAAAAGATAACGGAGAACTCCATGTAACAGCATGGTTATCGGAGTCTGGTCGTTGACCTGGTGGTCTCTCATTGTTTATACTAAAGTTGTGTCTATTATTTTTGCTAAATGAACTTCTAAGTTGTAGTTGTTTGTAGGCAAAAAGTTTGAAGTGGTTCCTTCAAATACGGAATCAAACAAAATTTGGAATAAATATAAATGTATGCATTGGATGTAATCACGCTCCCGAGTGTTCGTTTATTGATCAATAATACTTCTACTTTACACCAACAAAAAAAAAACATTAGTGATTTGACTACCAGTTTCCAGTTAAAATTATAAATCGTAAACATCTAGATATATCATATGGATAAATACGATAATATTCTTAGAATTTTGCGAAGAAATAATGTGTATAAAAATGGAACAAAGTTTCTCGCTGTTCCATGCTCAAAATATTAAAAGTAAATTCATTTAAAAAAATGTATATTTATTTAGGTTATATATAAGAATACCTAATTGTATTTGTACTCTTTACCTGATGATAACTGTCAGACGCAATATCCCCATTTGTCCGATCAGCAATTTTTTCCGGGTGAGTGTGTGTTAGACGATCCCATATTGATTCTCCTTTACCAGATGCATTCCAACCACCCTCAATTTGATACGAGGACGTACCGATACCCCAAATGAAGTCGCCTGGAAATTTTCGTTCTGTTGATACCACCGGTGTACGTCTGTAAGTGAATAAATTTGTTATTCGAACAATTTGTGGATGCACCGGAATATAGATCAAAAGACATTAGACATTTCGTTAAGATATCTCACAAATTGACTGAGATTTTCGATAAAAAGTCATGCTGTGATGTTCACTTATTCGGTATCTGGAGCCTTGAAAAATTATGTTCCGATTTCGACCATTTAAGGATATGAGAAGTTATGGTACTATTTGTACACGTTCTTACTCTCAAATCTGGATTAGTGTTTGATTTAGATATCGTATAATCGAAAAACAGAAGGAATGTCAATTTGAGTTGTAATCAGAAGGATGTCAGGATAATTTTATGCACCAATGGTTGAAATAGGTAATTGTTGAGGTATGAGATTTAAAATTAAAGTAGTATAATGCAACAATACCAAGAATTTGTCATACTTTTGCATTCCAAGTGCGGCACAAACCAAATAAAGGGCAATAGAAACAGAGGTTCTTATTTAAAACTTCTCTCAAAGTTATGTGTATGAGATTCAAACTGGTAAGATCTATTTGCCTTTAACCAACTTTAACATACCCTAAACAAATATTGAGTTGTGTTATATAATTCGATTTTTTTTAGCTCGTATTCCATTATTTTTTTAAATTTTTTTACAACACAATAAAAATAATAATATTTATGTAGTTTAAATAAATATTTTTATGGGACAACGTAGTTTTGTAAATGCAACAGCGGCTTTCGTACAGCTAAGGAAACCTATTTTTAGACAAGGATACTTACATTGACTCACAGACGGTCAGTGTGAAGATACACAAAAAAGTTATTAAATGCAGATACTTTTTCTCCATGTTGCTATCAGGTACACTCTGACAATTCACTTTATTCTCTTTATTGTTATAGCGCTATATTTAGCTTTTCTCATGAACCGTTATTTACTTTATAAATACAATACGGTTTTATTACACGAGATTACCACTCGGCTGGGTATAGACCAAACCATTTATTTCGAGAGATTGTGTCTTAAGTCAAAAAGGAATTTTCTATGGTGCACAGTATTTATCTTATAGGCTTATTCACTTTGATTTGAAAATTTGATAATTTTACTCTTTGTAATTTGTTTATTTGATTTTTTTAATAAACTCAATTTCGAATATCGCAGGCAAATATTTCGAAAATATAACTGCGAAAGTACTGTTTTATTTATGATTCAATTTCTCGAAAAAAAACTGGTTTGGTCCTATACTCAGGAAAAAGGTATATTTTTCGTACAACACGAAACACTTCGACACTTTCAAACTGTATATACGAATTAAACCTAGTCGATTTGCGAATTAGTTATTTTGACCTGTCTTCGAGCCAGACTGTATGTGGACAATTGACAATAATGCGTTAGGACATCTCATTTTAAACTAACTGCCAGCAGTGAGAATAACGATCGCAGCCGAGCTAACTTCGTCAGCAGACGCAATTGAAAACATCGCCTTCAACAATCATCTCAGCTAGAACCCTGATAGTCACTTTATCTGGTAACTTGCCAGTAACGCCTACTTGTTTAATTGTCACACGTTTCTATCATATTCTTAAGGGTCAAAAAGAATTAAAAAAAACTCTGAAACCTTTGTGTATGTTTGATATTTTATCTTTTCATCTTTAATAAAACGATATTCCCCCCCTTTCGCACTTATGTTGACGTCATATGAAAAAAACTGATTTTCGGAACGAGTGATTGTGCATCTCACGGCGGTTAAACTCCAAGCTTGCAATTCCCTCTGGCAAATTTCTTTTTGGTTGAATTCAATTTTCAAACGAACGCAAAAATTTACGTTATCACGCTGTCCATTTTATATTTATCGCCTTCACTATACGGTGACAACTTCAAAATCGGTTGATCTACTTTTACTTTATTTTCGCTTATCAGCTCTTGAGTGAAGAGCTTGCAATAGCAAACAAGCTAAAGGTACATGGGATTGACACGCAACCCATTTGAAATATTTGCAAAAAAAAGGGTTTGCTGTGACTGCTTCGGAACGATAAGAAACCTAAGGAAATTACATAACGTTTAAAACCAGAAAAATCTTTAAATTCGATTGCACCGAAGCTATAATACACTTCACGAACAAAACACTTTTCCACATGCGTTTGTATGGCAGCAAAATTGTTTGAATTTTATAAGAATTTCATCATCAAAATTTGTATATTATATGGATATAACTTATATAACTTATTACTAACTTAATAAGAGTTCAAATAATCAACTACTAGCCTACACCATTTTTAGTCACAATTACAGGAGGATTATCATATTCTCGCATGATCCACATGGTTAAATTGTACATGCCTTTAGGAACGACCTAAAATTTGTTATTGTAATTAAAAATGTTTTCATTACTAAAATTTGTATATATTTTTGGAATACTGAAAATTGTGGATGGATTACAAAAAGATTTATGCTCGCTTCATACTCATTAATTTGCTTTTTATATCTAAATAAGTCCTAATTTGCAAACATTTTCTTCTGCTGATGCTGACTTTTTCATAAAATGTATGAAAGCACGCATTTACAATCCTTCGCATTACCTTGAATACACAGTTTTGTGACTTCTCCTAGATCTTGATTCTTAGTCAGCAATTTCTGACTCAGCGGCAAAACAATATAATTTGAAGATTCAATTATGTAGCAGACAATGAAATTCGATAGTCAATATTGCTGACAAAAGTTGAGAAGCCTTTTATGCAGAATTTTTTGAAACTTCCCTCTTTCCGAAATCCTGGACCCATACCCTGCCCCACAAAGATCGCAAAGAACAAATGTAAAGGCAAAAGTCTACATTTAGCAAGAGATTCCCCCTTCTGCTAATGGCTCCTCTGCAGCAGTGCAAAGCAATCAAATCCTTGTTTGATCTCTCCGAGATATTAGACTTCCATAAAACATTCCTATTTAGGTTGAAACAAGTTCCGTAGAAGAGGAAAAAGAAATCCACCTTGAGTGGCGCCCCTATTCACATTTCGACGAGCGCTACCCCACTCGACCATAATCATTCGCTGTTGCAGAGAAAGCTAAGAAGTAGGTATTTTGCTGGACATTTTCTCTTTATCTAGAAAGGTTCCAATTGTGAATTCTTGAAACTCTGTCCTTCAGTATTTTCAGTGAATATACACCTTTCAACAACAGTGAACATCTAACTAAATCACGAACTTGTTTGCACTAGCTTGCAAGCAAATAACTTCATTTAGTACTTACCCGATTTCGTAGCGTCATGAACTTTATCTTATTATGGGTCTGCTTTACTGTTGTTCCAGCAGTGGTTTCGACGCTAATTTCTTTATTTGCCACAATACGGGGCAATATTGCGAACGGCTAAATCTTTGATATAATATGCTCCAGCTGTGAAAATAGTAGAAGCTATTCAACCATAACCGCTCGGAGAACATTTAGCATACTAACAAGTGCAATAAACCAATAATTTACCCCACAGATTGTGGCTACTAAGATTGTTGTAATAACTTAAGTACCTATGCATGCTGGTGCATTTTATGTGTATATTGTACCCGTTCTTGACATTCATCACTGATTGCTCGAATGTACAGCAAAATAAGTTCAAAAAGCCACAATTCTTATGATGACGTTATTCATTTAAAAGTTTGGTGCTCCTAATGACGTAATCGGTTTAGAAGCTCGAGGAAATATGTATATTCAACAATCACGGACACGTAGGGCGATTAAAGCCCAGTTATATCTATTTGTAGGAGTATTCCAGCAAAAATTAATCAATTAAAATCGCAATTAGAATTTCAAAAGTATTTAATTTGAAGTAGGGACCTAGTGATCTTTAACAACTTTTCCTATCTCGAATAATACACACACTATTGTTGTTGGTATATGATAATTGTAACAACTAAATGTTCAGAGTGATTACTTTTTTATTACCGATTGAACACACTCAACAACCTACCTAACTATCGATGTGAGTATGTTGAATATATAGAACTTCAACAAGTTTTATTTATTGAATATTTTTTGTTTTGAAAAGTCGTTTCTCAGATTTGCTTTCAATTTGCTTTTCCAGTAAATATTTACAAATCTATGCACATGTATAGGGTCAACCAACAAGAAAGGCGTGATGTTAAAATAAAATTTAAAAAAACTCAAATTTGGTCAAAACCCGCACCAAACGTTCAATTTTTTGGGGAAGCAAAAATCATGAACCACACGAAGATTTGACTCACCCCAATAGCGACAATTTTGTTTGTTGCCGAAGCCATTAAGCCAGATATGTGCCTCATCTGAAAAGATGATTTTTCGATGATAAAAAAAACAGTAACCACCAAAGGACGTGACCTTGCGTAATAATCTGAAACAATTTGCAAGCGTTTTATCAAAGTCAAACGTGACGTGATGAAATGGCAAACCTTACTGACAAAATTTGACACAAATCCGTAAACAAACATGGCCCCCACGAGCTGTCAAAATCACATCATCCCTATTAATAGACGCTGTACGTACTCAGATAACATCTTATGTATGGTTGGTACCACGTGCACATATATTCGTAACTACGATTATTCAATAGAATTTAAAGTCATTAACCATTTATGCAATTGTGTTGTGGATTTTCTTGAATAAATTAACGGTTGAGCTTTCTTATTTTTGTTTCAATGCAATATTTACTTATAGACATAAAAAGCTAAACTCAGCGTTATCTGCTTACTTACATACTCATACATATTCATAATCATGTAACTGCAATACTTTGTCGTCCCAGAAATATCTTCTACGAAAATTTCAATATTTTGAAAACTGATGTTTAATTTCGGAGTTTTATTCGCCTGTTTCTCGACAACAACAAAATTGAGCAAATATCTAAAACAAATGCAACATCAAGATCCTGAGTAATGCTCTCAAGCTCTTCTAGTAAAAAGACCATTCTATAATAATGAGACTTCTTCTTTCTGTCTTTCACATCCTGTTAAATTTGTAGTTGGAAAAATTTTCTTCACACACACTTTTTCTTGTCCAATAGAGTTTTATTGTAGTAAAAAACGTCTCCTATTAATTGATCAACTAATTATCTTTAATTTAAAAACCAGAAATATTCTTTAATAGTATAAAATATTAAATAAATAACATAATACTTTGGTCATAAACTTACGTGATAATTAAATACTATATACATCCGTATTTACAAAACACACCTTAAGACAACATTGACTACGAGGACGAAAACTTATATTCGTAATAAGTAATTTACAATTGAGAAGAGTAACGTTATGCTATGCCAACTTCGACCGATTAATGTGTTGTATGTAGTACTCGCACTCGATGCAGCATCGCTAACGCCCTCAACTTCGGGTAGCTGTGCCATCGCATTAATTTGGGATTCATCCAATGTTGGCCGATAACTCCAATCGATCGTGTTAGTCTTGCAAATTTGCGCATATACTTTGGCTGCGATCTTCGGCGTACGTGTACGGTTCGGATGATTGAAGTCAACGTGGTAGAGACCGATTTTTCCTCTAAAATGTGTAAGAAAAAAATAATATATTTCTCAAATTAAAAAAAAAAAAATTATTGGCAATTTTAACTAGATTTATATTTTAGTTTCAATATAATTAGTATTAAATACTGACGTATTACCAATTTTCCACTCAAAGCTGTCCATCAAGCTCCAATAAGTGTATCCCTGTACATTTGCACCATCTTCAATGGCATCCAAAACGGCTATCATTTCATAATATGTTAAAACTATGTGACTGTATGTCTGTCCATTCGTCCGTGCGAGCTGTAACTTCAGTAAAAATTAAGATATATTGTTGAAACTTGTTACACGTGTTCCACTTTTACGACAGTGTTAAAATAGCCCGCCCACTCCTCATATAACGGTTATGTTAAAAACTATTAAAAGTGCGATAATCAGTAACTAAATGCGTCAGAGGTATTAAATTTTACACCCACGATGGATAAGAGGGCTGCTGTCAAAATTGGACCATGTGCGTAGCACCGTCCAATTTTAGATGAAATCTCATATATCCGGACCTACTAGACCATTTTCAACCGAATTCGGTTCTTAATATTATCCTTACTTCCCATAGAAACCATTTTTAAACTCCATCTGATTTTTTCACTTTACAGTATACAAATTAAAGTTATATGAAAATATCGGGACTTTGCACATAGAGTGCCTTTAAGGTATACCATCGCGGGTCTAAAAATTGTTAAAATCGGACCAAAACGGTTCAAGCACTCATATACCGAATATCTGTGCGCTCCAGTGCGTATGGCTGACTTAAGAGAGTGTGTTTTTCTAATAACAGTGTTTCTTTGCACTGGAAAAAATCGAGAGAAAACTTGCATTAACCCCTATATAACTGATATTCAGCATTTTGAAACGGCCACCATATATTACCTACCATATAACGATTATCGTTATTATAACAAACCATAAACCGAATAGGTCGGTCAGTATGTGAGTTATATATTTATTGCTTGAAAATATGTTCACGAGTATACCTAATCAATGTAAACAATTAGTGCAATTAGCCCAGACCTTTTTCTGCCCCCAATATACCCTGTATAGTGATTTCCGATACTTGCTTCTGACTTTAATCTGTTTAGGTTGGGCAAAATGTGTGACGTTTCAATGAAACTAAGCGGACAAGCTTTCTTAAAAATTATGTGGTTTAGCGCTTAATATAATATGAGTGGAATAGGAATGATCTTGGTCTAAACCTAATATCCCTAATGGATTGAATTCTGATACATGACTATCACAAACACAAAATTGTATGAACGCCGATACAAAAGTAAAGCAGGCATTAAGTAAAACAGTTCGTACTAAATTACAATAATTTTAATTTGGCTTGGCAAGCTCTAAAAGCAAGATATGAAAATGAAAGAATATTGTTTGATATGGTAAACAAGTAACGATACTAATCAACTTGCTAAATATTCAAAAAGAAAGAAGTGAAGAATTTATTAAACTACAATTCATTGTTGTTGTTTTTCTTTGATAAATTATATTTCTAGTCAGATTTCGAAATCACACTAGCTTGGTCAGAATACCACTGCACCTTGCCACCACCTTCCTCCAATGGTTAACAGAATCTTCCGATTATTGGCTACAAATTCCCCATTTTCAACATAATTAAAATGTTAATATAGAAATAAATGATCTGCATAAAATAAATATTTGCATTTCTTAATCGAGCATTAATTCGTATAAACTCAATACAATTATAAATTCACAGAAATCGAATATTTACATTCTTTTCTAAATTAATATGTATAAGTTTTTAGTGAAAGGTAGAATATCTGTCTATCTATAATAAATATTTTCCGCATAAAATCGCACGAGGGTCTGTTTTTAAGGTAATAAAATATTTATCATTTAAATATGCTTATAGCTTTATTATACTTAAAATTTACAAAAACTATATTCAAATATCATTCTACGCACTTTAATTTCAGAAATCAAAATTTATTCGAGTTATACTCAAAGACGACAAAACCGAACCGGTCCAGCGGAATTCTTAATCTTCAATAACGCCCATACCGGCAAAGATTGTTATGAGCATTTGGTCCCACTTGGCTAGTTGTGTACGTATTGAGACCAAGGAAATCCGCAGTTCCGCGTATACTTACTTCTTCCTCTATGAATTCTGGCAAACGTGAACGAGTGAAACCTTGTTCTTCTAGTTGCCAAATTTCGAATATATCGAATGTGCAAACCAGCCCAAATAGAACTACAATGCACGCTCGGATGCTTCGCGATCAATCACCGAATCGGTTTTCGGTTCCATCCACAATGTACTTGTATGCATAGTAATAACGATTACCTGTAGTTCCTGATAGTTGTCACGGTACATATGCACCACTTTGGCATGTGCCTTTAGCAAATTGTGTGCACAGAGATAGTTCGGAATTCCAGGATAATTATACGAGGGTGCCAAATAATCCTCACCATAACCCAATTCACATATATGGATAGGTTCATTAAATGTTGTCCAGACGTTAACATGATCTCCTAAATTCTCGAACAATAAACGCGAATAATCGTTATATACAGATATAATTTCGGGGTTGGTCCAACCACCTAATTCTTGTAAACGTTGTGGTAGATCCCAGTGATAGGTTGTGACCATTGGTGTGATATTATAGTGCAGAAGCTCGTTAATTAGGTCATTATAGTAGCGTATGCCTTCACTATTCACATCATTCATATAACCCCCAGGCATGATGCGGGTCCACGCTATCGAAAATCGGTGCATATTAACGTTTAAGTCACGCAGCATTTGTACATCGCGACGCCACTGTGCGGAAGGAAATAGAAGTTTATAATGAAATTGCGCACTTAAGTCAAACAACTTTAACCACTTTAAATTGTATCATAAAAATCACCCAGATAAGAATTTTGGACTGTGGGGTCTTAGAGAAATAGTGTTGCTCGGTAGAAAAAGATAACGGAGAACAAAATGCAAGATGTGGTTATCGGAGTCTAGTGTTTTATCAATGCTTGTAGTTCATTAATTTGCGACATTTTCAGGTGTATTCATTGTTTACACTAGAATTGGGTCTTTTATTATTTTCTGAATTAATTTCTAAGTTGTAGTTGTTTGTAGGCAAAAAGTTTGAAGAGGTTCTTTCAGTTATGGACTCTTCCAGAGATCATTGATCTTTCGACTGCGGTCGCTAAAATCTGTCATGCTTACTCTTTGACAGTCCGCAACTGAAAACATTATTAGAAATTGGCTACAAGGAATTTCTTAAAGGAATTTCTTAAAGCCTTTTTACTTACAATTCCGCCACCTATGACTACTTAAGCCATGTCAATTCATGACGCCTTTCCACATATTAATCCGATTAATCCACATTAATATATCTTGTCAACATGTGCATATAAAAATTAACATTGCAGTTAAACTGAACTTACAAATTGCCACCTGTTGGAACTATTTGAATACATTTTTATGTATTGCGTTTAATTAATGTATATTAGTTACCGCTTACGAGTTAATTTATGTCTTTGGTGAATGTAAATCTGTACTTACATATTATACTACGTTGAACTAACTGGTTTCCCAACACAGTTGAACAATTATCGCGTTATATAATGCCAAATGATTTACGAAATTATCTTTAATTGTGAGAATAATTTGACAGGTTGATGGTAGAAAGTGAAAAATTAGTTATTCTAAAGAAATGTGTAACATAAATTGAAATATATTGTACATATATAATATAAATGTATGCATTGGATGTAATCACACTCCCAACAGGCTCGTTAATTGGTCAATAATAGTTCTACTTTACAACAACGCAAATACATTGGTGATTTGACTACCAGTTTCCAGTTAAAATCATAAATCGTAAAAATCTAGATATATCATATGAATAAATACGATAATATTCTTACAATTTTGAGAAGAAATAATGTTTATGAAAATAGACAAAAGTTCCTTCATTTGTCCGACCAACAATTTTTTCCGGGTGAGTTTGCGTTAGATGATCCCATATGGATTCTCTTTTACCAGATGCATTCCAACCACCCTCAATTTGATATGCTGAAGTACCAATGACCCAAATGAAGTCGTGTGGAAATTTTTGTTCTATTGATACCACGGTGTACGTCTGTAAATGATTAAATTTATTACTCGAAAAATTCGTGAATGCACCAATTCTATCACTCTGTACATTTTAATTTCATCGCCTTCAATAAACGGTGACAGTTTTAAAATCAGTTTGTCTACTTTTACCTTATTTTTGCTTATCAGCTCTTGAGTGAAGAGCTTACAATAGGAAACAAACAAAAGATCCAAGGGATTGACATTTAACCGATTTGAAATATTTGTAAGGGTGTATTAGTAGCAAACATAAAAAGGCTACTATCTTAGCCCCTGCCACTGTTACCGCTTCAAAACTATAAAAAAACCCGTCGAAATTAAATAAAGTTTAAAACCAGAAAAAACGTAAACTTGCACCGAAACTACAATAGAATGCCCTTCACGAATAAAAAAATGTTCCACACAAAATCTTAATTTTGATCGTTCACTTTGTATGGCTGCTATATGCTATAGTGGTCCGACATCGGCGGTTCCGACTTATTAACAGCTTCTTGGGGAGAAAAAGACGTTTGTAAAATTTCAGATCGATACGTAAAAACTTTAGGGTTTTATAGAGTAAGGAGGTAATTATACACTTGCACGAGTTGCTACAGAGTATAATTCTTTTGTTCACCTAACGGTTGTTTGTATTATCTAATGAATGTATAATTGATCAGGATAATGAGGCGTGTTGAAATCCGGGTCTGTCCATGCAACCGATAACTTGAGTAAAAAATAAAATATCTCTATGAAACTTGGTACACTTGTTCCATGGTTGGTGTTGTAGATACGCGTAATCGGACCATTGTCACGTCCACAAAGCGCTATTAATCAAAAAACTTTAAATCGCCATAACTAAAATGCAAATTAAAATACAAAACTGTAATTAGGCACAACGAATCGCAATAACGAGGGGCATCTTGAAAATGTTTAAAAAGCGGGCGTGGCCCCGCCTCTATTAGGTTTAATGTATATACATATCTCGCAAACCACTCAAGCTACAATATATTATATTATCCAAACTTGCATAGGACAAATTATTTGGACACCTCTTGCGACAGCGTGAAAATAGATTATATCGGAAGATAACCACGCTCACTCCCCATAAAATGTTTTTGTTAAAAACTATTAAAAGCGATAAATCAATAAATAAATGCGTCAGAAAAATATTTTTGTTTTACACCCGAGATCAAAAGAGTGGGCTTTATAGAGCCGCTGTCAAAATTTGACGATGCGCGTGGCTCCGCCCACATTTATATGAAAACCCATATTTCGGGAATATACTCGACCGATGTCAACCAACCTTGCAACCTTAGTAGGTAGCAATATAACGGCATTTTTACATCGCAATGCGAAAATGAGCTATTGCAACCTCGTCTACTTCCTATATAACATATAACACAATTTTAAATTCCATCTGATTCTTTTACTTTCCAGTATACAAATACACCAAATAATATATTGCGATAAATCTTTGCACGAATGGTGCCTTTGGAATATGCCATGTCATGTGTCAAAATTGTCAAAACCATAACTATTCAAATCCCCAGATACCGGAAATGTGGACCGCAGAGCCTCTGGCTGACGTTTTACCAAAAATATCGATCAATGTGTGAGATATCTAATTGAAATTAGGAAAGAGTCCTTTCAAGATAAAAGCTTGTCTGTATGTCAAAATGGGTTGAATCGGGTCCCTTCGCCCCCATATACCTAATAGAAAGATTGTCAAACTTCCGGCTGACTTTATACCGCAAGTATCGGCCAATATGTGAGTTAATAAACGGTACATCTCTGTGCCTAAAATTGATCAAATCGGCTGAAAACTAGCCCTAATCCCTAGAATTGGCAAACATCTGGTTGACTTTACTTCTTATACCTATATTGTTGACGGTATGGGAGGTACCTTAATGAAACCCAGAGGGCATCTGTTCCTATTAATAATATATAGTAATGCCAAAAATAGATAAAATCGGGTCAATCTCCCATATACCTATTAAAGGTTTTTTCAAATTTCCGGTTGACCTTATACTATGACCAATGTTAATAAGGCACAAATTTGATTGTAATCCATTCATGATATCCTCGAATAATGAAATTTAAATTCTTTCTCAACATTTTTTAAAATATAGTTCTGCGAACGCCTGAAGGTATTTCCCCGGCTTAGATCCTTGTAATGTGCAAGAGTATGAAATGTTCGGTTACACCTGAACTTAGCGCTTCCTTACTTTTTTTTCATTTAGTTTTATTCTTTCGAGAACTGTTAGGTTAGGTGCATAACTGGGGTGGTATGTTGGGAAGTTAAAGGAAATATATATAATACGAGTTTATCCAATATATAAATAGATTCTCAAATTAGTATATAATAATATTTTAACAAGTTAAGATCGCTCTTAAGAAGCACTTTCATTACGAAATTTGGACTCAATAATTGATGAGATGATCGGTTTTGAGAAGGTTTCATATTAGCTATGTATTTCCCGTATGCACCTTTTTTTCCCACATCGATGTGTTTATTCGATTGGCCTCGAGTTAGAGATTTTCTTTCTTCCGTAGAAACTGTTTAGTTAGGAATCAAACAGGTTTAAATGTGCGTACTCATGCGCATTATTTTTGTCGTAATATTATATTTCGTTTACTTACGTTGTATTTCAAATAGATCAATGTGCCATGTCATTATGTATGATTGGAAGAATATGTAAATATAAGTTAATACCTAGATTACCCATTTGTTTGGTTCCGGAAATTCACAACATAACACTGAGAGTATGAATAATTAAGAAAATGTCCGATTTTCAACATAAAAATAACGAAAGCTTCTGGAAACAAAATTATCATAGATTCTGTACGGGATTCCCCAAACAAAAAAGGACACTATAAGTAAATGTGCATTTTCTTTAATGGGAACAGTTGCTTTCAGTTTAAATCCGTGCCGCATTAAAAATACACCACTGTGCATAAGAGGGGCATAATAAATGACGTATGTACTCAAATGCATATGTGAGTAGAAGGCGAACTTTAAATTGTGTGCAAATTCGCAACTTCAGACACTCAAAGACCACAAGCGTTCTTAAATTGTTACATTATACACACACCCAATTCGTATATATGGCAAGTACCTATATGATACATCTGTAAAATACTGTTTTTGGTACGAAATATATTTTTTTATTCAATATAATCTCCATTAACTTCAATACGCTTATTCCAATGATCCTCCAATAATTTTATGCCATCGCTATAATGACTTTCCGGAAGCTCTGCAAAATAACCATCTACGGCTGTATTAGTTCTTCTTTCGACGAAAAACGCTTTCCAAAAAGGAATTGTTTCAGGTTTCTGAAGAAGTTCTAGTCCCTGGGAGCCAAATCTGGTGAATACAATGGATGCTCAAGCCATTCGTTCTTTAATTCGAATTTTGTCATTGTTAAAACTCCTTTGTGAGCAGGGGCATTGTCTTGATGAAAAATAATCTTTTGCATTGCAAACCAAGTCTTTTCTCACGAATTTTTTCATCCAGCTGATCAAAAAGGTTGCAATTATATTCAGAGTTTTCCTTCGCAGAAATCAATCAACAAATTTCTTTTAAACTTCTTCTGCGATGCTATGGCATTACTAATTTCAGGCTTACTCAAACTTTGATCTTCACTAACAATATTATGTTGCTCAATGATTTCTGTTGTGGTTGCGGTTTTTGATCGTCCTTCGCGTGGATCGTCTTCAAGCCTAGTACGAGCTCGTTTAAATGCACCAGCTCAAAATGCAACGGTGCGTTTTGAAGGTGAGGACTCCTTATACACTTCTAACAATTGTTCATAAATTTTCTTTGCTTTAAACCTTTCAAAACAAGAATCTAATCACTGATCTTCAATTTTTCCATATTAAAAATACTCTGACACGTCAACTTCAAATGGTTGTAAACAAAGAATAATTTGAGCTTGACTTGTAACTTTGCATGTGTTCTTACACATCTTTCTTGGATTATCAAAAGTTTCCATTTATATACTATTTGAATAAATTTATATACATATATATGTGTATGCACTAATTCGGGCGGTTTTTCGAAAATTAAGACTTTATTGTGAAAAATTGATATACATTTAATGTACAAAGTATTGCCCATCTTTCTGGCAGTTTGTGGATCCCATCCCAAAAAAACTTCTCTGGCTTGGAGGTCAAGAAAGAATCGAGCCAATTTCTGATACCCTGTTCTGAAGTGATGCGTACTCCGGTGAGGGCATTCTGCATTGATCTGAACAAGTGGTAATCGGAAGGTGCCATGTCGGCTCTAAGGGGAGGTAGAACTTCCCACCCACAGTTTTCCAAATAGTTTTTAACTGGCCTTGCAACATGTGGCCGAGCATTGTTCATGATGAAAATTATTGCTTCGTGTCTGGTCGCATATTCTGGTCGTTTTTCCGCGATGGCCTTTTTCAAACGAATCAATTGTTTTCGGTAGAGATCCCCATTGATCTTCTGGCCCGATTTCATAGCTCATAATAGATCACACCCCCTTGTGGTCCCACTAAATACATAGCATAACCGTGGCACCATGGATATTCGACTTTGCCGTGGATGTTGATGGTTGGCCGGGTTTCACATACGATCTCTTGCGCTTTGGGTCATCATAATGAATCAATTTTTCATCGCCAGTGACAATCCGATGCAAAAATTACTTCTTTTGGTGGCATTGAAGCAACATTTCCGACATGCAGAATCGACGTTCGACGTCTCTTGGCTTTAATTCATAAGGCACCCAATTTCCAAGCTTCTGGATGAATCCTAATGATTTTAATCGTCTGGAAACGGTTGCTTGATCAACTCCTAATACTTTTGCAAGTTCTTCTTGCGTATGGCATGCATCTGCGTCGAGCAATGTCTCCAATTTTTCATCTTTAAATTTTTTTGGCTGTCCGGGTCGTTCTCCGTCGTCTAAGTCGAAATTTCCACTTTTAAACCGTGCAAACCACTTTTAGCACGTTCGTTCGGCTAAAGCATGATCACCATAAACGTCCAGTAAAATACGATGGCTTTCGGTAGCACTTTTCTTCATGTTAAAGTAATGAAGAAGAACTCCCCGCAAAAACACTTTATCTGGTACAAATTTCGACATTTTCAAATGAATGAAACAAATTGTTGTTCACGCTAAAACAAATGGCATCTACTGAAAACAACGTGAAATGAATGACAGTACCTTTGAAATGAATATAGCCACAGATGAACACGACGCGAAATAATACTAGTAGAGTCTCTTAGAAAACCGCACGAATTAACGCATATAATTATAATTTAATGAATTTTGCAAAGTTCAGTGGGAATGAAATAATGGGTGTATTTTTAATACAATTATATACAAAAACATTGAGGGGCACCTAGTGTGACAGCCTTAAAAAACTTCGATTTTTGAGAATTTAAAATAAAACACTATGTATATCGATTTTTTTAAAAAAACACAAAACAATTACTTCCTATCTATAAATCATTCAATAGTATTTCACTTCAATAATCATTTATGCAATTATGTTGTTAACTGTTGAATAAATTAGTTGTTGGGCGTTCATATTTTTGTTTCATGCAATATTTACTCATAGACATTAAAAACTATCCTAAGCGTTATCTGCTTACTATATACATACATACTCATACATATTCATAATCATGTAACTGCAATACTTTGTCGTCACAGAAATATCTTCTACGAAAACTTCAATATTTTGAAAACTGATGTTTAATTTCGGAGTTCCTTTCTCCCGTTTCTCGACAACAACAAAATTGAGTAAATATCTAAAACAAATACACACCAAGATCCTGAATGATGCTCTCAAGTCCTTCTAGTAAATAGAATTCTATTGTATAATAATGAGATTTCTTCTTTCTGTCTTTCATATCCTGTTAAATTTGTGTTTGAAAAAAAATGGCTTCACACACACTTTTTCTTGTCCAATAGAGTTATACTGTAGTAAAAAACGTCTCCTATTAATTGATCAACTAATTATCTTTAATTTAAAAACCAGAAATATTCTTTAATAGTATGAAATATTAAATAAATAATATAATACTTTGGTCATTAACTTACGAGATAATTAAATACTATATACATCCGTATTTACAAAACACACCTTAAGACAACATTAACTACGAGGACGAAAACTTATATTCGTAATAAGTAATTTACAATTAAGAAGAGTAACGTTATGCTATGCCAACTTCGACCGATTAATGTGTTGAATGTAGTACTCGCACTCGATTTAGAATCGCTAACGCCCTCAACTTCGGGTAGCTGTGCCATCGCATTAATTTGGGATTCATCCAATGTTGGCCGATAGCTCCAATCGATCGTGTTGGTCTTGCAAATTTGCGCATATACTTTGGCTGCGATCTTCGGCGTACGTGTACGGTTCGGATGATTGAAGTCGACGTGGTAGAGACCGAATTTTTCACTAAAATGAATGTGTAAGAAGAAAGCGGCAATGTAAAAATTTGGTAAAAAAAAAACTTCTTGGCATTTTTTACCTAGATTTATATTTTAATTTCAATATAGTTTTCGAAAGCATTCGTTAAATCATGAAAGGTAATATAGAATACTTACGTATAGCCAACTTTCCACTCATAGCTATCCATCAAGCTCCAATAAGTGTAGCCCTGTACATTTGCTCCGTCTTCAATGGCATCCAAAATGGCTGTAATAATTAATAAATATCCATTATACGATTATAATACAATAAAACTATAAATAGGAAAATAAGATAAATTTTTAAAAACACAATCAATTAATATATCATCACATACATATAGATATTTCAGACTTACCTGATAGATAAGAGTTCAAATAATCAACGCGTGAATAATCTTCAAGACCGCCTCGGTCGCTTACGCCATTTTCAGTCACAATTATAGGAGGATTATCATATTCTCGCATGATCCACATGATTAAATTGTACATGCCTTTAGGAACGACCTAAAATTTGTTAATTAAAAATGTTTTCATTACTAAACTTTGTATATATTTTTGGAAAACTGAGAATTGTATATTGATTACACAAAGATTTAAGCTTGCTTCATACTCATTAAATTGCTTTTTATATCTAAAAAACATCCTGATTTGCAAAGACTATTGTTAATTACGTTAAGTTTTTTAAACTATATAATAATAATAGAGTAAAATTAAAGTTTCACTTACCTTCAACCACAACGAACCTGAACCAGTCCAGTTCGGATCTTGATCTTCGACAACGCCCATATCGTGATTGAATGATGGTGTGGGAAAATTAACAGTATTGTTATGATCGTTTTTCGTCACTAGTTTAGATGTGTACGAATTTATACCAAAGAAATCCGCAGTTCCGCGTATACGAATCACTTCTTCATCTGTGAATTCCGGCAAACGTGAACGAGTGAAACCCTGCTCTTTGCTCAAATTGCGTATGCGGTCGAACATGATTTGCGGATAGTTGCCACGTTTCGAAAATATCGGATGTGCAAACCATCCCAAATAAAATTGCATAGCACGTTCGGATGCTTCACGATCATCCTCCGAATCAGTTTTTGGTTCCATCCACGATGTGTCCATAGTAATACCGATTTTACCCTTCTGTGGTTCCTGATAATTCTCACGGTACATATGCACTACTTCGGCATGTGTCTTCAGTAAATTGTGTCCACAGAGATAATTCGGAATTCCAGGGTAATTATACGAGGGCGCCATATAATCAGCACCATAACCGAATTCACATATATGCCAAGGTTCATTGATCGTTGTCCAAATCTTAACACGATCGCCATACATCTCGAACAGTAGACGCGCATAATCTTTGAATACAGGTATAATTTCCGGATTGGTCCAACCACCCAATTCTTGTAAACGTTGTGGTAGATCCCAGTGATAGATTGTGACCATTGGTGTGATATTATAGTGCAGAAGCTCGTTAATCAGATCACTGTAGTAGCGAATACCTTCACTGTTTACCTCATTCATATAACCCCCAGGCATGATGCGGGTCCACGATATCGAAAATCGATACACATGTACGTTTAAGTCACGCACCATTTGTACATCGCGAGGCCACTGTGCGGAGGAAAATAGATATTTATAATGGAAATAGCATACTCGAGTTAAAAATACTCATAATTTTAGATTGTAATAAATGGTATAAACAATATTCAGATAAAAAATTTCAATTGTAGTGTCATAGGGAAACATTCATTTTATTTCCGATGAAAAGATAACAACGAAGACCTTGTTTCAACACTGTCTATTGTTTTATCAATAGTTCATTAATTTGCGACATTTTCAGGTGTATTCATTGTTTACACTAGAGTTGGGTCTTTTATTATTTTCTGAATTCATTTCTAAGTTGTAGTTTATTGCAGGCAAAAAGTTTGAAGAGGTTTTTTTAGTTATGGAATCTTATAGAGATCATTGATCTAAAATCTGTCATGATTACTCTTTGACAGTCCGCAACTGACAGCATGATTAGAAAACCGCTACAAGAAACCTACGACTACTTAAGTCATGTCAATTCGTAACGCCTATCCACATATTAATTTAACTAATCCGCATTAATCGATCTTGTCAACATGTGCTTATAAAAATTACCATTGCAGTTAAACTGGACTTACAAATTGCCACCTGTTTGGACTATTTGAATATATTTTCATGAACGAGTATTTCGTTTAATAAATGCACATTAGTTACCGCATACCAGTTAATTTATCGATTTGGTGAATGTAAATCTCTATTTATATATTATACTGAAGTGAACTAACTGGTTTTTTAACAAATTGCAACAATTCTTTATTTTTGGAGGTCGGCGTCCGATAATGCCAAAAGATTTAAATAAATTAAAAATTAATAAGGAAATTATTTGATAATTTTTTTTTGTGGATTACCACTATATACTATACTTTTCCTTGAGTTTTGGTATTTGAAAATATTTATAAACTCTGCTGATTTATGTTCTAATATTTGCAAAGTATTCGTTGCGTTTGCAATTGTTTTCTTGTGTTTTGACTAATTGTGTTGTGTTGTGACTAATATAGATTCAGAAATCGGTCACCCTGTTTACACAAAAACTGTCAGCTTGATTAGAATACGGACAAGTGTATATGTAAATAAACTTACAGAAATTGGAAAATATATATAAATGTAAGCATTGGGTCACCACACTCCAGACAGGTTCGTTAATTGCTCAATTAATTTCATCGTAATTTCTAAATAATCACCTGTAGGGTGCGATTTGCATACAAGTTTTCAGTTCAAATTATAACTCGTAAACATCTATAGATTCCGAGGAAAATCAATATTAATTTATCTATATTCAGCTTATACATAAGTATGCCTAATTGAATTTGTATTTTTTACCTGATGATAACTATCAGAAGAAATATCACCATTTGACTGATCAGCAATTTTTTCCGGGTAAGTGTGTGTTAGATGATCCCATATTGACTCTCCTTTACCAGATGCATTCCAACCACCCTCAATTTGATATGAGGACGTACCGATGCCCCAAATGAAGTCGTGAGGAAATTTTCGTCCTTTTGATTCCAAAGGTGGGCGTCTGTAAATGAACAAGTTCAAATTAAAGTACATTCAAAATAACGAAAAAAGCAACTAAGAAAGGGCTAAGATCGATAAATTTTCAAAGATCAAAGCCGTTGGCTAAATGTTTCATATAAATTCTATAGTCGCTATTCGACCATATCGTAAAACACGATAGCCATAATTTTTACTATCGAAAACATGTCCACTTAGTCTCATTAAAACATTATCGACATAGATTGTATAATAGACTGTTTAAAGTCATATGGTAAGTCAGATTCATTGTATCAGGGGTTTATTAATTCGTGGATCGATTCCACCCATTTTCGCTCTTCTCTAAATTTCATTAAGATATCTTACTTATTGCCGATATAAACGTTCTAAGTTAAAAAACGCACAACGGTACATTATTATTACGAAAATATACTCTTTGAATTTCATAAAGATATCTTACAGATTGATCGATATTTTAAGTAAGATTCAACCATAGGCACTGAGGTCTGATTTCGACCATCTTTGATGTGAGATGGTATAGCTTAAAGGCACTATTTGTAATTACAAAGTTTTACTCCGATGTAAATGCTTAATTTATATTATATATTGTACAGTGAAAGAATCATATGAAATTTCAAAATGTGTTGTTGAATGAGATAACATACCTAAATATATAATATAAAGCATTATTTTTGAGATATAACTTTGTATCGGAGAACTTTCTAATTAACATTTATCAATTATTTGTGCAAATGAAGAAAAGGCAAAACTTGAATATAATACACTTTGATTAAAGTAGTAGAATGCAACAAAAACAAAGAACACGAACAAACAAATAATAACGCTGACGGCAACAGAAAAACCGCCGCTTTCATTTGAATCACAATGCTCAAATGAGAATTTCCCAGAACAGTGATTGAATATACTTATTAAAATACGTTAATGAATCAATTAGAACTATAAATGCATGACATAAATAACTCCAAATCTTTTTGCTGGCAAGTTAATTTTATAAAGCAATATATGTAGGTTATATAATATAATATAAATAATAATGTCTAATTTATTATTGTTTGCATTTTGTAACAGAATTTCAAGTACCTTGCCCTCTCTCTACAGATTAATTGAAAATATATACGAGTATAATTAAAAAAATCCCCTACTAAATATGCGAAGTCAATGCAACAGGTGCTACCATTAACCCACTAAAGTGAACACGAATTCGCGAATATTTTGACCTTTTCGGAAACACAGAAAACCACCTGTGATAGTGAGATTGTACGCTGGAAAAGTGAGTAACTTGTGTTTCTTTTTCTCCTTTTTGTTTATTTTTCTTTTAATTATTCAGTTAGCTCCGAAAATGTAACGTGCGCACAGAGTAATAACCTGAATGCTTGACATTGCCGTGTACATTTTAATTGCCAAAGCACACATATGCATTTGTGCACATGCTTATGTGAGTATATCAGAGGCGGCAAAGCCGTAAAAATTACTTATATTCGATTACATCGATTATTTGCGTATTTCTTTGGATAAATCAACGCAATTGATTTACTCAGTCAAGCGAGTGTCGGCCGAATTTGCCTTGATTTCTTTGTTTACATTTTTAAGGCAAATGCAACAAGTTCTAACACTCATACATATGGGCATGCTAAACATACGTGTACATATGTATGTATGTGTTACTGCGCACAGGGTTTAATTGATTTTATTTGATAGGTTGCTACGCCAAGTGTCGGAATTAGCCAGTCTAATTGTAATTAATCAATTCGCTTAATTATATTTTCGACAACGTACATATGTACATACATACTGACAATATAATACATATGTTATGTGAATGTACACATACTTATACAAGCGCTTGTTTCAACCACTAGACAATCATGGTTTTTGATTTAATAAAGCTATTGTTTAGTTTTCTATCAAGTGTTGGATTTCAATTGAATATACTTTTTAATTAAAATTCTTAATAAACATAATTACAAAAAACTTAATTCTTCTTAATCGAAAAAATATGTTTATTTTAATTGCCCGAATATTACAATGTTAACATACATACAAGTGTGTGTATGATATACATATACATATGTACGAGTTTGTATGTGCATATGTTAAACACGGAAAACAAATTATTAAGCTCTAAATCAGAAATGCATGTGGACATAATTACTCATTAACTTAAATTGAACCAAAGCAATTCATATCTTTAAACCATTCACTGCCATAGATATTGAGATATAAATTGAAATGAAACCGACGACCTTGAAATCCATTAGATAATCACTCTTATTAGTGCGAATAAGCAATGGAGCTGTAAACCACACTGCGACCGACGAAAACTACACGGAATTAATCGTGTGTCTCGCTGGATGACATGACAGACCTTGACAATGCCAGGGAAATCAAGCGTGCGTGCCTTGAAAGCACTTAAAGCAACAGCTGTTTGCTCTTGCAGAGAAAGAATGTCGCATAAATCATACCATAGACATAAAACGCGAAAATTGCAATTACAAAAGTACCTAAACTATTATATATTTAGCGAAATAACAATCAAAATCACAATTCGTTCCTAAAATCCAAAATAAATCTGCGAAGGCGATTGGTCGAAGATATAATATTGTTTTTTTTTGTCGATATTTGAAATGCTTTAAATAATTGATGAACTTATAAATCCAATTATCTCTCAAAAAAAATCGTATCTCTGCAAAGTCGCAATAAATGCAATTTTAGTTATCAAATACGCAAATATGTAAACATCTTCAGTAGTTAAGTACATATTGATACTATTGCCGTTTGCTATCATACCTTTGAAATCTAATTGCTGCATGAACCAAATAAAGCGTAATAAAAGCGGAAATGTTTATTTAAAGATATTCTCAAAGTTATACGAGACTCAAAGTGATAAGATTTATTTGTCTTTAACCAACTTTAGCATAATAAAATTAATGCAATCTTATCAAACTTCTAATAAAAGCATTTGAGAACTACACACATATCCATTTAATTTTTGTTGTTGTATTGTTGTGCATAATTTTGCTACATTCTATTAAGTGCAGACACATGATTTAATAAATAATAAATGCACTTTGGAGTTGCTTCACAGGAAATCTCAACAACACAACTACGGAAAATGCATTCTGCTAAGAACAATGGATTGTTTCGATTTGATTTTGTAATTAAGTAAATACGACGAGTAGATAATTACTAATAATTTTGGAAATACATTTAATTGCTCAATTAAATACCCAAAATATGGAAGTCTTATATTCGTCTTTTTTTTAGGAATATTATTAACATGAACTTGAATATTGAAAAATATGAAATCATACACAAGTTTTGCCTTAGATGTATTTCTCAATGCATCCACAAATTTCAGTGTTTCGTAATTATCAAAAATAGAAATGTATGTATATGCAAAATATTATGCTATTCCAAAATAGTAACATATTATTGATTTTATATTAAACAAAATTCGAGTAAAAGCTCCGAAAATTTGTTTCAGATGTGTTTCATATTTCCAATTTTTATAGCTCATGTCGTGTACTCCATTTGCATTTTTTCAATATTTTCACAACGCAATGCAAATAATTATAATTCCCAAATACACACAATTCACTTGACTTAATATTTGCATATTCTACCGCTGGTAAAATTCCAAAGCTGATTTTTGAAATGTTGCTCACCTTAATTAGTACAAAATGTATGTTTGTAGTTCAAATACTTCTTTTTTTCTAGAAATAACTTATTTTTGTAAATCCCATTCAGTCAAGGATACTTACGTTGGCACACAGACGCTCAGCGTGAAGATGCACAAAAAAGTTAACAAATGCAGATACCTTTTCTCCATATTGCTATCAAGTACACTGTGACAATTCACTTAATTATCTTTATTGTTATTACGCTATATTTAGCTTTTCTCACGAACCGTTATTTACTTTATAAATACGGTATGGAATTATTATTATTTGGCTTGACAAACGTCTTAACGTCTCATAAAATATTCTATCTTATTGTGCTCCGCCAAATGTTACTTTTAGATAATTATTTACACTGCTTGGCGATATTCAAACACCATATTTTGTTTGTTAAAAAACACGAACTTTTTGGCCGTAAAGTCTTTTTGTCGTACAATAAGCTTTAAGGCAATTTCGACACTTTCAAACCGTATATACGAATTTAACCTAGTCGATTTACGAATTAATAATTTTGACGTTTCTTCAAGCCAGACTGTAGCCCGCCAAATGACAATAACGCGTTAGGACCTCTCATTTTAAACTAACTGCCAGCAGCGACAATAACGATCGCAGCAGAGTTGACGGCGGCAGCCGAGTCAATTGAGCACAACGCCAGCAACAATCACAGTAGCCGTCGCCGCCGCTGCCGCAGTCACCGCTTCGCAACGATAAAAAAAAAACCTGTCGAACAGCGATCGTGTTAAATGCTCGTAAGCAACTGCGTTTGCTAGTGAACACATTCAGAAACGTCAAATACGTAACGCAACAGCAAATCTTAGAAAGGTGTTTGAAACAGCTTGTATTGAAAACTTGTGCACAGTTAAGTGTGTCTGTATGTTACGGCTAATAATATTAGCGGTCAGTGTCGATCGCCCCATTCGGGATATGTACTCAATAACCTGAGCAATTATACTCCAATTCCATACCACATTTAAGGAGAATGCGTTAAGCAAAACTTCATCTTAATTCAGCAACAATTATTGTATGTCCTAAACCTTCAAAATGTAGCTATGTCAATGAAATAAGGAGAAATTCGAAATACATAAGAAAAGTTTCGCGAAGTTTCCGGACTAATACATACCCATGTACTTATATATTAGTTACCATAAGAATGTCATATACAAAAATTTAAAAATAAACTAGCATCTGTGCTTTACCCGACTCAAAACATCTCATTCCTTTTTCTAATACAAGCCGATTATTATAATGTAGTTAAATTAAAATAAATATTTAATTCAGTTTCCCCCACTTTTAGACTATTAAATATTGACACTTTTCGAGTTAACAAGCCATATTAAGGTTTATCGTCCGATTCAACATCGGTAGTTGAAAGTTGTACTTAACGCTCACATGACTACCGGTAACGACCATTTTGTTATGCAACATACTTATTTGCCCACACTCGGAAAGACTTCGGTTATTGTTTATGAAAAAGTGTGACAGGAGCTGCCGTTAACTTGGCTGGTAAACGTCTCAACCAAGTTCCTGTCCTTGTCAGTTACCTAACGAATTACTCAGCGTATACATATTAGCAATTTACTTTCCTTTTACTAAACTATAATACATATGCATATGTATGTGTGTATTTTAAGTAGACCCCATAGATCGTAGAGAATTTACATGGTCACCTTTTTATTATTCCATTAACAATAACATATTAAATTGTTATGTGCTTTTAATGCATACGATTTAACATATTTTTATTACATTGCATTTATTTGATTCGGTGCCACTTTTGCTACCGTAAACAAGTGACTTCTAGACTGGAATATGATGGGCTGAATGGCAGGTGGGCTGAACAGCATGAGGGGAAGAACGGCTCACGTGTTGCGTCGGCTAATTTTGCGGCAGGCAGTGAGCAAAACACGCCCTCTTCTGCACACACACACACTCATACATCTGCATTTGCTTTGATTGCGCATAAATTAAGAATGGATAACGTCATAAGGCATTTTGGGCTTTTGAAACCTTTCCCGACTGGTTTTCGGCTAATAAATTAGCATCAAAATGATTTGTCACAATGCATAAAAATAATGCGAGGGAAGAGAGTTAGAGGCACCCAAACAATATACATACATAGGTATATAGGTTATATATTCACAAGTAAGTAAGTACTTATTAACGCCGAGAATTTGTATTTATTTTCGTTGTTTTAGGAAGAGCAATGCATGAATTGGATGGATCTATACAATTTACGGAAATAATTCAAACGCGTCTGTCGCACTAATTGCTGCAATTGGTTTGCCAGTTAATTTTACAATGGTCAAGTAAACCGATGTGAATAAACTTAGATTTAAACTTGGAATTGGTTTCAATGTTCGCCTTGGGGGTCAAAGCAAAGACGTTGTAAGGTTAGGGTATGTTTCAGCCTGTTTGGCTAACAGTTAGAATGTATTAGCAATCCGACCGTACATTTATATATATACATACATATATGTACATACCTACAAAACGATGTAAAGTACTCATTGTTATTAATAAGGTTTTGCGGTAAACATGCAATACATATGTATATGTATGTTATACACACATATATACATATATGTACATACCTACACAGTTACGTTTGCAACGATGTAAAGTTCTCATCGTTATTAATAAGGTTTTGCGGTAAACCTGCAAACGTCGGGAATCTCTGACTCTAATTTTGAATAAAAAATAAAATAAAACTTTGGAAAGTTCAGTTTATTACCTCAGTACATGTTTAACTGCTATTTAAGTATTTCGTGTACTTTTTTATAACCTCAAATAGATAAAACTTCAAAAAGCAGCACCTTCTTTTTTAGTCTTCTTTTTGTGAATTTTTTTGATATTTACATAATTTAATGTACTTTAAAATCGGTGATTCCTTTTGAAAAAATTTGGATTTCTTTGCTCGCGTAGCCAATTTCCAGGAGGACCACCCAAAAGAAGTATTTGGCGGTAAGCAAGATTTTTCTGCTTAAAATTATATCAAATGCAAAAACCAAAAAAAAAATGTATTATTACAATATATGAATACAGGTTATGATCGTGGCTTTCCAAAGAAAAGTTCGTTTTTTGTGAAAAAGCTTACATTTCAGAGTGGCTTAAAAATAGAAATTATTATCAAAATCGACCGACTCTGAAAACAACGTGTCAAGAAAAATTCGTTTAAGGTATTTGGGATCAGATTGCACTTAATCGAAAAATTCTTACAAATATGCTCATGTATCCCAAATTCTCTCAACTTCAAATTTTCGGAGAATATTATCAATTATTAAACACATATTCGGTATGCAGTGAAACCTCACACAACCGGACACTGACGGTTCCACAATTTTTGTCCGCTTATTGGAGGTGAATTTTTTGAAATTCACAAATGGATTAACTCCAAAATAAATTTCACTTAAATTCTTAACTAGCTAACAATCGATCAGCTGATCGAAAACTGATATATAAAATTATTTACACTTGGAAAAAAACCAGAAAGCAAAGTCAAATAGGTAAGCACCAAGTTTTATAGGAAGCATAACTGATTAGTTATTAGAAGGGGTCAAAAGAAATGCCTGACCCTAAATTGTTGAGCTTAAGCCTAAAGAAATTCATGGTTTTACAATTAATAATAGCAATAATTCAATACTAGACAGTAGTTGATCTGCTGAACATCTAATAAAGAGGCCGTTGGAAGAATTTTAGGAATTAATCATAAAATATATAGTCGATTGTCGGCAAATTACGCATACATATACATATGTACATACATACGCCCATGTTTGAAACTGCTCACACGTTTCGAATAGAATCAAAAAAAATAATGCTACATTCTCTGTTTAAAGGTAAGGAAAGGCTTCAATTTCATGCAACCGAAAGAAATTGTCAGATTCCTTTCTTTTTGTTATGTGGCAACTACGAAATGCGTATATTTTTGTGAATCTCTTTTATGCTTATTCCACACGTGTTCTGAATGGGAAGGTTTACAACAAAATATTAAAATACAACACACTTCACAATTTGTTAAACAAAATGGAATTATTTACAATAAATCGGTTAGTACAGCATTGATAGCTACATTAAAATTTAACTAAAGATATTTGTTTGCAGGTACACGACTGCGAAACCAGAGGAAGCAGGAAAAAACGAGGAGGCTATTCTGCAGCAAATTCTTTTAAAGGTGGAAAATCGTAAAAGAAAAAAGAGCACTGTTGAATTACTAGATCTTCAAGCTGCACAAGAAAAAAATAAAACTTTGGAAAATGATATTATTGGTAAAGACGAAGCTCAATCAGAAATTAAAGATATCAGAACAGTGGAAGAAAGCGATGCTGATAAAGATGTTGATCCAATAGCCGACGATGCCCGTAATTTTGAAGCAATTAATTTTCAAATACTTGGCGAAGATGTGGACAAAAACAAGCCCAAGAGAGTCAGTATGGTATTGCCTTCTTGGCTGGCGCATCCCACTATTATTTCAACAGCAGTTGCACCAAAAAGTGAGACAGCGTCGGACGAAGCTGCTATTAATAAGCTTACATTTTTGGCACCACATATACGTCACACGCTCAAAGAAATGCAATTCACGCGGCTATTTCCAGTGCAAATAGCAGTGATACCTTGGTTGCTTGAAGCACAAGCGAAACCACCACCATTCCGACCACGTGATATATGCGTTTCGGCGCCTACGGGTAGTGGTAAAACACTCGCGTTTGCCATACCAGTTATACAATTACTTGCCAATCGTGTTGAGCGCAAGATACGTGCATTGGTTGTGCTTCCAGTTGCCGAGTTGGCATTGCAAGTTTTTAAAATTTTCAAAAAGTTGTGTGAAAAGACAGATCTAACCGTTTGTCTTTTATCCAAAAAGTTTCCATTCGCTCAGGAGCAAGAAAAACTAGTAGAGTTCTACAAGGGACAATATTACTCCAAAGTCGATATTGTAGTGACAACACCAGGTCGATTGGTCGATCATTTGCATGCGACTAAAGGATTTTGTTTAAAAGCTTTGCGTTTTCTTGTTATTGACGAAGCCGATCGTATAATGGACGCAGTATTTCAAAATTGGCTTTATCATTTGGATGAACATGTGCGCACTACTTCTGACCAACTACTTTCAGGACGCGCTGCGCCTCTATGTGTTCGCGAATTGGAGTCCTCTTATGGTACACAGCCGCATAAATTACTCTTTTCGGCAACGCTTTCACAAGACCCGGAAAAACTGCAGAATTTACGACTATTTCAGCCTAAACTATTTACATCCGTACTTGCTGATTTATCGGAGATGCAAGAAAAGTTCGCCGACGTAACTAACAGTGAGGAGCAAAAGAGTGAACAATTGAGACGCGGAGAATTTATCGGCAAATACACAACGCCAGCTGAGTTGTCCGAGTGTTATTGCATCACAGAAAATCGCATTAAACCACTATCGCTTTTCGCTTTGATTAACGAAAATGAATGGTCCAAATTTCTATGCTTCACAAATAGTAACGAATCGTCGAGCCGGTAAATATTTTAAATCAGCTTTTGCAATCAATACATGAAACTACCCACAGGTTAATACACAGAACTTTGATTTTCTTAGGTTATCATTCGTTTTGAAATCTTTGTTCAAAGGAGGGTTAGTTATACGTGAGCTCAGTGCATCCATTACCCCAAAAGAGCGGGCAAATGTATTAAGTCAATTTGCGCGTGGACGCATCCATGGGTAAATATTATTAAAATCGCTTGATTCAACAGAAGTGCAGAAATATATATATTTTATAGACTGGTATGTTCGGATGCTTTAGCGCGTGGTATAGACATACCCGATGTGGACGTAGTCATCTCTTACGATCTGCCTAGACACGTAAAAACCTACATACATCGCATTGGACGCACAGCGCGTGCAGGTAGTCCAGGCACAGCAATAACTATGCTAACGCAAAAGGAACTGCAGCAATTCAATGTAATAGAACGATTTATTATTAAATAGGACTTATTTCCTATAATGCAGAGTGTTAATATTTTTTATCTAAACATTTTCTTTACATTACAGCATATTCTCGGAGAAGTGGGTAAAAATCTAACCAAGGAAATTTTTGTAAAGACCAACTATGAAACGGAATACGCCAAACAATACACATTGGCGCTTCAAGATTTGCGCAAAAAACTTGAACAAGACAAACGCTTACAATTAATGAGAAAGGAACGCGTCAAGGATAACGCCAAATTGGCGGCTAAAGACCCATCAAAGATGTCCGTTATGGAGAAATTACAACTGCAGGCTTCGACACAAGTGGGTGTTATGGAACAAGACAAGGAAGAAAATCAAATTCAAGAAAATAATGTCAAAAATAAGTTGGTTAAGCGTAAGAAATTTAATGCGAGCGCAGGCAAAACTAAAGAAATACAAAAATAATGTGATCATCATATGAATGTGTCTTAGTTTTATTATTCATGCCACAGTACATAACAGAAGTACCGTTGTATTTTAATTTGCCAAAATACTTTCCATAAGGAGATAGTCAATATTTTAGATGTGTTTTTAACTACTTGTATAAAGAAATAAAAAATGTTACCGTAGCTGCACACAAGCTGTAGATATTTCCACTCGCAGCTGACAGACGTTATCAAAATGATATAATTTAATAAAACTAATTATTGTAAATTTCTATTCAAGCATTTTATTCCAGTTTTACATTTTATTTTAAAAAATTTACCACACTGCAAATTTCTATAAGACATTGGTTTGTTTTTCTAATTTTAATTGATTTCGTTGCAATTTCTTCAAAAAGCGATGCATCTAATATTTCATTTTCATAAATGTATGTAATGAATTTCTAGTACTTATCTAATTTTCTCTGCGAATACAATTTAACAACTAAAGACTTAAGAAAACAAAATATGAAATTTCGTATTGAAGTTACAAATAATTTTACTGTAGTTAAAAAAAAATAACCAATTGCATTTTCGTTTTATTAAAAATGAATTGAGTATACAATTTCTATATTTTTTTTATTGATAATTATTAATTCAATTGCTGTGTAATACAATACATACTAAAAGTAATAATGAATATTAAAATAAAATTTAAGTTTTGCGCGCTGGCAATGCTTTACTTTCAAAGAAACTTATAGGAGATTTACGCTAAAACACAGCAAAGTTTTAGACAAACACTAAAACCAATATTCAATTGACTGTGTAGCAACCTGCAGTGCCCACTGTGTGGGTAATGTGAGGGGTGGGGTAAGTGTTGTTGGTCAAACCAACGAAAACTAAACATAAATAAATATGGGAGCACATTGGGAGATCAGGAAGCCAAACACTGCAGTTGTGAGTGACATTTGTGGGTTTAAAATTGAATGATAAAAATGTAAGGTGAAGTATATGCCAGCTATTAAAAACAAAAAATATTTAATTTCTTGTTTTGATGTGTTCTCAAGTTTCTTTTAGAAACGGGAAACGTTTTCGTATGCTTTCTTTTGTTTTGTAACAACTTGACACAAAGTTTATATCACAGCCTTTTTATATTCACTTGGAGATTAAAAGATCACCTTCATATGAGGTGGAGAAAATTTAGCGTATGCACACATAAAAACGCCGATTTTGTGTTGAAACATTTTAGCGCGTCTAAAATTGTACGCCGCGAAAATACAATTTTTAATGCAATTGCTTTTATTTGATTTGAGGAATTGTGGAGATGAAATTTGTATGTGGGAAGCTTCTCCATGTGTATATCTTAAATATACAAATCTACATTTAAATCTAAGGCATTTTAATTTTTAAGTTTTTATTTTCTTTCTATAAAGACCAGTTCGAAGTATCTTTAAACAAAATAAAAGTGTAATTTATGTATTATTTTTTGTGTCTTAGTTGCCTTATACGGACGTTTAACGATCGAGTATACAAGTATATGCATTAATTGCATTGATTGCATTTAAACTTTTTTTTATTATTACATTTTGTTTTTCAATGTTCATTAAACTATAAATAATAAATTACTGCTTTTGACGCACAGTAGGATACTAAGAACTTCATCAAAAAATATTTCTAAGTTGAATTCGCTTTCTTCAAAGTAATTATAAAATATATGGAATTAATATATTTAAACTGTGCTAATTTTTTAAAACGTGCAAAAAATTAATATTTAATTACAAAAATACTTAATTTTGAACAGGGACTGATACGTATTTATTGAAATTCGTTCTCGTTTATATATATATTTACCAAAAAGAAATATTTAACTGATCTTCATTGAAACGAAAAATTCACAAATATATTTATGTGAAAAAAAAAATAAATAAAATTAATTAAAGTAATATTACTTTTACACAATCACTTTTTGTTTAAATTTAATGTTGAATATTCGTTTTTCATTTCAGTCCCTGGTTACAAATTTGCTTTAGCTGCGATTGATCAGCAAGTAGCATTGTTTCATTGTTTTGAAAAAGCGCACAGTCTTAGTCTTTTTTATCCTTTGAATCACCCCAATAAGGAAAATAGCACGAACAAATTAGTATTGAATGAGAGAGATTTCAAGTTTAGCATATTTTTCGTTTGATTTACGAGGGGTGCCTGTATGCCTATTTGAAAACTACTCTTACTATGTTAATTGCAATGGAGTATATGATCATTTACCGTACAATATAAATTCAAATAATTGCAAAATTAGCTGAAATATATGAAATTTATGTCCACTTGCTATTCATTATTCATATCGACATGTTTCTTCCAATTGCCATTTACAGCGTTTGTAAGAAAGCAATAATTTCCGGGTTCGAATTGGCCACAGCACTGAATTTGTCTGGATAATTTTCACGAATTTCTTGCAGTAGGCCCAAGGCGGTGTCGTATGTTTCCTTTTCTGTGTATTCTTTTTTGTAAAGCACGTGTATGGCAATGGCTATAACCTGCTCCAATGAAGTGGCGATCGCATCTCGTGCTTGCAGATATAACTGCTTCAAGCACTTAAAGATTGAGGCGTTTTCATCAAAATCTTCCCGTAGTGGCAAATGTTGCATGAATACTGGCAACACCTGTGACAGCGGCACCAAAGAACTGTTGCTAATGATAAGGCGCGCAATAGCACCACAAATATTGTCTAATGCACTGGGCTTGGTTTCCTTGGAAACAGCCTGGGAGAGGGCATTTAGAATGTGTGGATAAGCTCTGCAAATGACAATGTTCGTTTAGAAAAAAGACTAAAAGTAAAATTAAGAAAACACTTACTCATATGATTTATCTCCCGAGTATAGCACCAATTCACCCAGACCGTATACGGCGTTTTGGCGCGCTTGATCGAATTCGTCAGAGAGCCCGGCGATCATTACTGGACAGAATGTGTTGAAGAACGCACCGGTATGATTTCCCAGTGGCGCAAAACATTCAGCTAAAGCGCCATAGGCGAAAGCGCGCTGCGATTCAAGGTCCTCATTTTTCTTTGCCTTTTGCTGTAAATGGGTGTTATAAGTAAAGCATACATACATACATACATGCAAATTGTCATATCTTTTTTTACATACCAATTTTTGTAAAACAATTGGATAGGTGCGCTCAAAGTATGGTCTAAACTGATCCGCTCCCATGGCTGCGCCTAACAATGGCAGCATATTGCCAGCACCCTCTACGATAGCCTCATCGTATTCGCTCTCCTCAGCATCTTCGTCATCATCTCCAGTAGATTCGTCAAATTGGCAAGCGACCTTGCCCTGGAGCACGTCCGTTATACAAGAGAAGACAACATCGCGAAGTTCAATCGTTGGCAAAGATATTTGCTTCAACTCTTTCAAAAGATCACCCAAACCTTCAAGTGCAGACAATACAACAGAAACTTCTTCGTCATCATGCACAATTTGACCCAATTTGGGTATCAAGATTGTAATAGCATTGGAAACGCCTTGCAAATCTTGCTGTTTGTATAGAGCCACAATGAACGAGCTCAATGCGTCAATTGACACTTTACGTATATCTTCCTGTGGATGATCGATCATCTTGTAAACATTTTGATAAGATTTCTCCAAGTAAGGGATAAAAGCGGCGCCGGTATGCTCGGCAAATTCCTTCAATGCTAAAATGGCCTCCTCTTTTTCATCTAAATATGAATTTTCAACACTGTATCCCGCAATGTTGTCTAAATCATCATCCTCCCCCTCCGAGTTTTCAATATCGATGTCATCTTCGTTCTCATCGGCTTCCTCTGCTGGCGCTGGTACTCCATCATCGTCTTTAAATTCTGGAACTACCTCCTCTGTAGAGAGGATAGAGTCAAACATGCGTTCAATCACCTTCGGGAAAACGGAGGCCATCTCCTCATTTACCACCTCAGCCAATGAGGCAATCAAATTGTAAAGAGCACGACGTACATCGGGATCCTCAGCCTTCTCGAGTAAATTTAAAGCGAACGTCATAGTATCAGTGGCCAACGGCATGAAGTTTTGCTTGCCGATCGTGCGTGCCAAGGCAGCCAGAGTGTCGATGGCCTGTGGACGCAGACTGATTATATCCTCGTTTTCGGTTGGAGCCAAATATGATTGCAAAATGGTAATTAAGCGTGGGAAATAGGGTAGCATATTCTCATTTGTGGCATTCGCGGCAGCGGAAATTGCACTTAAAGCCAATTCACGCACACGAACCGAATTGTTGGGATTCAGAGCTTCGAATAAACTGCAATAAGGAAATATGCATATTAATTTAGACAGCTCTAACATATTCATTAGCTCTATATGATTATTTACATTTCAATAAGCACCGGCAGATGTGGCACCAATTCGTCTTCCAAATTCTCGCAAAACGTTTCTAGCGCATAGAACATACGATCAATGTGTTTGGGTTCAGTGCCGCCGCTCTGAGGAAAAGAACGAATATACGATGTTTCATTAGTCAATGCATTATAGTTCAGATTTATTTCATAATTGCTAGCTAAAGTGCGAAATAAATATCAAAACGAAAAACTATATGTTTGCTACAGTGCATGAAAAAAGTTGACTAGCATAATTAGCACAAAATTTCACTACATAATTAGTTAAAACCGATTTTCGCTTAATTTGCAGCTGATTCATATAAAGTATTGTATCAGTTTTAGGCGGCCATGGCTCGGTGACTACATCGTTCGGCCAGGATGCCTTTGGGTAAGCGTTAGTGGAAAGGAAAAAAACACAAAGAGAGCCAAAAAAATGTACAAAGTTACCAAAGAAGCAGCATTAACGCAATTTGATTTTTCAATGTGTACATATGCAATTGAATAAATAACTGCAGTTCGGTAAGAAGGGTAAATACACACTTTTCAATTTGTTAACTTACTCGCAATTCATTGCAGAGCTGATGCAAAAATTCAAAGAGTATTGGTAGAATTTGTGGTGCGAATTTGGTGATGTCTGGTTGTAAATGTTCGGAGAATTGTCCCAGCGCAAAGAAGGCGGCATTGCGTACAAGTGGTATTGGGTCGGTGATGCCTACTTTAACAATATTCAGCATGGTTTCCAGATATTTGTTGCAAATAGCCTCCGAACATCCTTCGGCTATAACGGCCATGCTTAAGTAGGCAGCACGACGTGGCAGTGGGTCCTGACCCTGCAAGGCGGGCTCCAAAAGTTGCAATAGTGGCGGAATCAATTTCTCTGGTGGCACGCTCAATGCAAGCAGATCCATTGTTTGAGTAGCCGTTGTCATCGGGTTCGAGTTGTCTTCACCCAAAAAATATTCTTCATCATCTAAAATATAATACAATAAATTTTTTTAGTTACGTATATAATATAATATATAACACAAATTGCAACAACAACAAATATTAAAATATAAACTATAGAAAACTGTGAGCACTAACCATCTTCGTCTTCGGGTTCAGTTGCCATCAAATTGAAAACTACTCGAATTATGGGCTCGATCAACTTTTGTTTGATAATCAATTTTTTCTTAAGGCGCACCAACCAGCCAACATAAGCAACGGCTTTAATGCGCACAGCGCTATCAAGTTGGGCATTACTTGCTGCCTCCAAGCAGAACTCCAACAACATTTTGATGTGATTGTTTAGCAATTTAGCATTCAAATCTGCCATACTCTCGAGAATATCAAAAGCGTGAACAAATTGATCGACCTCAGGCTGCACAGCAAACGCTTGAAGCGATTTAACAATCAATGGTATGGATTTCTGCAACGTTTGTTCGGCTGTGTTGTGACCCAATGTGAACGGCACCAAATAAGTCATACCAGTTAGAATGTTGAAAATAACAGGTGTAGCCATGTTGCCAGTTGCTTCGGTGGCCACCAATGCTGCAGTGAACATTTCACAAACCGATTCCATATGCTGCAAAAATTGATCCGGGGCCGCATCAGCCAAAATAGCAAATGTAGACGAACCCAGCTCGCTTTGCTTAGGATCGGCCGAAGAGCAGTAGCTGTAGATGAATTTTAGCACTTCGTTCATCCATGAGTCAGACTTTTTGGCTTCGTGACGCACCAAGACACCAACAAATTGAGCAATAGCCTTACGTACAGACTTTTGCTGCTCCTGCATGAGGGCATTAAGCATACCCTGCTTAATACTACACAAAAATAAATATTAGTTTGCATTTAATTTTTAAATCCTCTCTTAAATAATCTATTTATCTGGCACTTACATTTGCTGTTGCTCAACCGGTACTTTGTTCCATTGACGCAGTTTTGCTAAGTGCTTTTTAAGTAGTACAGCAGAATATTGACGCACCTGTGGCTCCGGTGCCGAGACGGCAATTTCACAAAGAGCTGGTACGGTCTCAGGATGCTTGTAAGCCTCCTGTAAATCAGCGGTGGCCTGTAAACAAAGGAATATTACATAAAATAATGTAAAGTAGTGTGTAATTTACATATATGTATATGAGAACCTATATATATTTTCACCTAAAAGGTAACAGAAAAAACGTTTAACTTTGAAAAATAAAACCCAAAATTGTATTCGGCTCTATACTTTTGCACATGACCTTATACTATATTACATACATGCATAATAGTTCGCAAATATATATTTTATTTTATTCTTTTATACATGTATTTTTAAATAAATATAGCATAAGCACTGAATAATTCTCAAAGAAGAGCGTACATATTACTTTAAAATATAGGTCGAAAACATTTTAAATTTATCTGTAAGAGTTAAATGATATACATACATCATACAAATGGTATGAAAGGATACACAAAACTTGAAATCAATTTACAATAAAAGGCAAATTTCTGCGAGTTAAGTCAAATAATACTTCAGAAATACATTTAAATGTGTCATGAAATTAAAATAATTACCATACATGTATACTTGGATGTATGTACTCAGCTAGCGTAAATAAAAGAAACGTGGCAAAGCTATTAAAATTCCAATATGTATGACTTGCCTAAGTAAAAGAAGATAAACCAAAAAATTACCACGACGCACAAGCATGTGTTCTCGAGTATTAAAATTAATTAAGGAGGCATGTATGATAATTACACATCCCAAAGATGATAGGAAAAGCATAAAAGAAACAATTAAAAAAGTGTGCATTTGTTTGTTCAGACATATTTGGATGGTACATACAGGTATATACATACTTACATACATATGTATGGATGTGTATGTTTGCATCTATCAAATTAGTATGTGATGTGAGATGCGTTGTTATTTGGCCCCACCCCACATCCAACAACAATATTAGAGAATATAAATTCTGCATGCTTTTGGCTAGAGACGCAACAGTTCCATTCATTTCTTTACTTTTAAATGAACACATTTTCAAATGTACGCGTATATACACATATAATTAAATATATATGTGTATGCTGGTGCTTTTGCTTAATTGAACTGATATTCGGTAGTTTGAAGGTATTATATATTGGACTTGGCAACCGAATGCAATATATAAACATGTATTAAAAGCAAATGCGTGAAGTCAAAAAATTCAACCGTTTTCTTTGTGTGGAGATAGCCGGCCGGCGTGGAAGAAACCGGTCATATCACACACTGCACAACAATTGGGTGGGTGGTAACACACGTTTGCTTTGAAATATACACACGTATGTGCATTTTTTTTTATTAGAGAACTAGCGGACACGTGTTTTACTGCAATTTAAGAGATATCTATAAATATGATATAAAAAGATTCTATTCTTATTAAATATATGTTACATGCAACTCATATTTTTTCACGTTAAAAGAAATTGTGTGAAATTTTCATATTTTTGATACGAGTATTATGGAAATATAGCATTTCACTTTTGTTTCATTAAAACATAGTATACGTTGCAAAAATTAAAAATATGTACGTACATGCATACATACTATGTATTGAAAATTGAATTGAAAGCAGCAAAGATGAAATTATAAACGAGAACAAATTTCAAATATGACATAGCCTACTACAGTACGATGAACAACGAAGCAAAGCATGCGAGCTGATGATGGCGCGCATCCACGTGTTTTTGTCGTTAGAATGACTTTCCTTACTTTGCAAAAAAAAAAGGAAATATTTATTGAATTCTTCTTTTACTTTTGTAATTTTACTTAATATACAATTTCATTCACTATTAAAATATTTTTACACTTTTTGTAATTAACCCAGATAAAATAATTTTAATTAAAATCTGTATTACATACATACCTTTTTGATTACATCGTTATCCGAAGAAAGTAAATTTGTAATAATTTGAGTCATTTGCTGCATTTTGGATTTTAAAAATTGCTTTCAGTTCCCAAAGACACTTATTCCAGTAGTTTATCGCTCTTTTCGCTAAATTTACACCCTTACAAATTTGCCAATTATTTGCTTATCTTCCTTTGCGCCAATTTTTTTATGTTCTTTCGCTTTTCACACGCACATATAACCGAACTCACACGTGAATACAAAGAAATGTATCGCAATTTCTGCTTTTTGCATATAATAATTTGCAAAAAGTTATGTGAACTGCACCAATATTCTCCGTATTACCTCACCAGGCAGATGATTTTCAAAGAATGATTGAATAAAAATAGCTAATAAGAAAATTAACTGAAAGCTTTTTCTTGTATATTGCGCAAAAAATAATTCGAATTGTGATCCGAATGTGTGACTGATTTCGCCTTGCTTTCGTTGTTTGCTGGTTTGCTTTTGATGATTCGTGGTGGAGAAGAAATTTCTGAAAAGCACTGAAATGAATTGTTGGCGATGGGAGTTGTCAAGCAAATGCAACTCTTTGTTGAACATAAAGTTAAATTTTTAACGACTTGCTATTCATTTTCCCTGCTCTGTGCACAATTTTCTTTTATTATTTAAAAAGTTAAAAATCATCTTTACACTTTCTTTTTTAGTAAATTGAGCAAATGCTGAATACATCAATATATTATATAATCTAATATATAAGATTCAATGTAACCAAATAATTGCTCATTATTTATAGCAAGTCTTACTTCGTACTGTACTATTTGTAAATGCAACCTTGTGGATACGACGGCTCAATATCCACCATTTTAATTTTAAACCCGATTTGCGCCAACTTCATATTCTTTGGAGGCTCTCTTAAATATCCGAAGAAAATATTTATGGGTTAATATAAAATACTGCGATCAGTGCCAAGATATTCGTATATTTAAAATTAATTATTGTATTAACTAAATAATTTGTATTGTAATAACGGGGTGTGTTCTTTGAATATTAGTAAGAATTGTTTAAACACCGTATCCGAAGGAATTTTCTTTGTTTATTTTAGTTGTTGATTGAACTTGAATTGAAAAGGCTCATAATGGATAAACGTGCCATTGAGCAAAACAATTTAACTGATTCGCTAGGTGTTTTAAACTTGGATGGTTTAAGGGGTAAAGTATCGTTATAATATAAATATTCTTTTTTTGTTAATTAAAATGTTTTACAGCTTTTGGCGAGATGTCTAATTCTTCAATAACAAGCAGTAAGCCTATCAATGATCGTTTGAATGTGAGTTCGTTATCTTATTTCCTTATGTATATTGTTAAAAATTTAATTTTACAAGATTATTCTTGAATTTACAGAAAGAGCGACTGAGAGCGTTGGAAACTTTGGAAAAAGCTAATAAGACAATAAAATCGGACGTAAATAAAATTATACAACAAAGTTTTGCTAAAAAGGATTTTAGAGATCCAAATCCCATAACAACATCGTCAAACAGCTCTTCAAGTAAATTGGTTTTGACTTATTTTGCTTATATATTTTAAAATAAATGTCTTTTAGAATTTAATCGAACCGAGTATGTACCCTATCGTAGACCCGATTCTATTAATATTTCGGAATTGGTAATGGACGAGAGTATAAATTTAGATTTTAAAAGTACTGTTTCAACAAGTAACAATACAAAAGTTTCTTTTGAACCTTCTGAAATAACTGGACGATCTACACACTACAAGGACCGTAAGTCACAAAAGATTCCGAAAAATAATATGACATCCACATCTAGTCGCCTATCCGTCGGTGACATCCTTGCTACTTCGTTTGCGCCTAAAGCACGTAATCTCGGTGAGGTATTGGGAGAACGTACGTCTGTATCCAGTACAACTTTAGGGAGCCTAAATAATTCGAGAAGTTTACTTCGGACAGCAGACTTGTCTCTAAATACTTCAGAATCTACGTTTAGTAAATCTGCAATTGTCGGAGGGCAATTTTCATTTAATGGCACAAATGAATCCACAGTCAACGCAGAGGAATTTCAACCAGCTGAGAATATGCAGTCCAAACTACTGATGGATGAAATAGCTTGGGCACAAGAATTCGCCGCAATACCCACATCTGACGTGAATAAAAATAGCAAAGATAAGATGGTAGAAGAAAAGGATTTTGATTTGCAATCAAACCCAAACAGGTATTGTATATTTTTCATATTGAATTAATAATATGTTTTATATATAAATATATTCACATTTATGTACATTGTTATTTGAATTTCTAGTTCTCTATTTTCTCGAGATCCAAATTTTTCAATGGGTCGGTTTTTTAATCAGCGATCAGAAGATTTACAAAATATTGTAAAGTCATTAAGTCCAGAGCGTATGCGACCACCAATAGCATTAGTAGATGAAACTCACAACTCACTCAGTTTAAGTACACCTTTAGGTAACACAAAAGCATTTCAATCTACAAAAGACGTCGATCGCACCCCTCAAATAGATAACAGAACTTATAGCCTAGCTCCAAAAAGAAATCAGAGTTCGACAGCGGATTTGGGTAAAATTATTCGAGATGAACATGAGAGTAAAGACTCCGGAAATGGCACAAAAGAAGACGAAGAATCCTATTTGCTCTCTCTATCTCACATCAAAAAGGCGTTTAGTAAGTCCTTGCACTCAGAGCAGAGCACCTTTCTTTCTTAACATATATTTTTATTTTAGTAAAAAATTCGTATAATGACATCAAATCAACTGATCTTATCGATTTATTGAAAAAACCAAAACGTCCTAAATCGCCACAAAATCATGGACACGCGGAATCTGAACAAAGTTGTAAGCCATCGCAATGTCAGACAAAAGAGATGCAAGTGGTTAAAGAAGCGCATAAAAAAGCTACGGGAAATTCTACGGTGAGAAGTTCTATTGAGCAATACACAAAGAGTCTTAACACACTCGAAGAATTGTTATCGGAGAACAAGGAGAATTTGGATCCAGAAAGAATGCGTGGATCTGAGTCACAAGCTGACACTATAAGCTTTACAGAATCGCTGCTGGATGCCAGCGATTTAAAGGAATTGCAACAAAGCGTAAATCAACCACGTTCACCACTCAGTCCATTGAATATACCGAGGGTTAGACTATCACCAGATCAATTAGATGTACAAATAAGACCCTCTAAAATATATCTTAAAACACCGGAGAGATTGGACGACAATTCTAAAATGTCAGCTAATGAATCAGCGATATCGAAGGCTTTTTCTAATAGTCGGGCGGCTATCAATAAGCATAACAAATCAACTATCCTTGCACCAAATGCAAAATCACCGTCCGCGGTAAGTCCAACATTGCCGTTAAAACAGAAACCCCTTAGCTCTACAAGGTTAGATGAACAAAAAAGCGAATGTGACTTCGTAGCTATTTCGCCGAATCTTTCCAAATCTATGACGTCAACTAAGGGTATTTCCGCTGAATACACCTTATTGGCCAACGGAAGCCCCAATAACGGCTTGATCTCCGGTGTGCCATCTCCAACGCGTAGCTATATGTCGTCGCCTGTTGCAGAAAGTCGTAATGAGAATTATCGTGGTGCTTGTGAAAATTGTTCACCTCAACTGCGAGTTCAACCCCAAACTAGCACTACAGTTAGAATCCATCGTACCAATTCATCCCCCTCCATCAGTGAGCGCAGCATTAAGAGTATTGTACCAATGCGCACTACCAGTACGCAATCGTTACGAAATGGTAGTAGCAATGGAGGCGTTGTGCGCAGTGTCTCCCGATGCTCCAGTAGCAGCGAATTCAGCCATCGTGATGGCAATGCCATCCCACTGAAAGTAACCGCGATGGAATTGTCTTGGGGAAGTACACGTCTGCGAAATGCCGCCCATAAGACAATGCAAATAAAGAATACAGCCAGCAAGAAACTTACATTACGTATCGATGTCCATGGTCCAGGTTATCAGCTGATCAATATGCCAGGAAATAATACATTAACACTGCAGTCGCAGGAGTGTCGAACTATTGCGGTGAGCTTTTGTCCAACGGTCATTGGTGCTGCCATTGGCAAACTGTCATTTTATGCTCCACAAAATACTACCGTTGCCCATAATAGTGCCTCTACAGCTAGCATGTCTTCATTTTTGGATATTCCCCTCTATGGCTATGGCGGTCACTGCAGTGTTGTGGCACAAGAAGTACACATAGCTCCTGTGGGTATGGCCTTTCTACAAATGGGCTATCTGCATGAACTCTCGCAGCCAATACAGCGTACAATACGTGTCTACAATAAAGGTCCACTTCTAGGCTTCGCATTGGCTTCAATTGATTCAGTTGGACTCCGTCTACCACGCTTATGTACTGCTTTTGAAATACAACCCACTGCTATGCTTATACCACCTGGTTCGTCAGCAACATTACGTGTTGTTTTTCGACCACAGCGCGAGGACGTGAGAAAAATTACCCGTCAAACCAAGTCCGTGTTGACACTAGCGAATTTGCGTTTAATATCTGGCGATGAAGCGAACAGGCAACGCATGCGCCAATTAGTTGCGCGTATGTCGGCCGATGAACGCGCCAACTTAAGTTCATCTAAATCTCTGGAAGCATTGTGGGAAAAGCTACCTGGTGAGAAAGATATTGAGGAGCTGCAGATGTTCAAAGAATCGCCGACCTTAACATTCGATCTGTTGACAAATATGCGCATACACGAAGTGGCACTTACCATTAACGACGACTATTTGGACGAGACTATAAAGTCGACCTCTTCATTTTATTTTCCCGATGAGGATGAAACAGTATTGTTCCGTACCGTGTGCAGTCCATCGCCCAGCAACAATGCAGACGGTTCGGGCCATGTTTTAGATCGTGTCGATGAACTAACTGAGGAGGAGGTGGAGCAAGCAGCCAACAGTAATAATTCTTCGGCACGTGGCGAAGCTTGTTGCTGGTCAGTATTGCCGAGTTCATTAAACTTTCATTTGCGCGGTGAAAAGCATACGATATGCTCTTCGATTTTCATCTGCAACTCTTTTAAGTCACGACAATATTTTGAAGTGAGCACCAATCGGAAAAATGTATTGCAGTTAAAGCCTACAGATGGTTACGTGGAACCCGATGGTGGACATTTGGAGGTGGAAGTGAAATTGCGGGTTGACAAATTGAATGTCGACAATAGACTGGAACCCATATATATAACGGTATTATTGGAAATTATACTTATTTGAAGTTTTATTTATACTTTGTTCTGATTCTAGGTTTCTATGGAGAATGAGCATATAACAGTACCAGTGAAGTTGAGCGATGAGACTCGCCCGCAGTAGAACGCCTGCTGTGAATATATGTGTACATGCTAAATGCGCTTACAGCAGCATTTTATGTTATGTTATTAGTTTTTGCTGTTATTCGTCTATTCATCTGTTTTAAAACATACTTCTTTTTATATTTTATATCGTTATTATTTTATGCATGAGTTTTACAGTTTGTTTCACAATTGCTGCTGCTACTTCTGATATTTATTAATAAATGTACGAAATATTTTCGTCCAAAATAGTTTTTATTTATGATTTTTTAATGGAAAATGTACAAATAGTATTTTGTATCTTAATTTAAGAAGTGAAAGACTTAAAGGCAGTTAACAGCATATTGACTAAAACTGTTAACTGTTAAATTTAAAATTTTAATGCATGTTTTATAAACATAGGACTTATGATAGTATGACTCACAACTGGAATACAATTGAGTGTAAATCGTTCCGTCGACAGTCGGGTCTAAGTCACCGGAACGGACCCGGATTTTTATCTGTCTTTTATCAAAGGCTGTCAATTCAGCACCATTCCTCGAAATTACTTCAGGAATGTTTTCTGCCACTACTACAACAACATTGCCATTGTTAAGATGCCGTTACATGAGAAAAACAAAAAGAAGCAAGATATCAGTAAAAGAAAAATCATGAAATTATGATTCAAAGATGAATAGCCTTAAATTTATATTAAGACTTGAAAGAGGAAGTTTGGCTCATAACTTAAAAATGTCTGAAAAATCTACTAAATAATTAACACAAAATATGATCAAAGGAGAACAATAAAAAGCATTCATTGCGAATTATGTAAAGAACTATAAGATTTTATATTTAAAAGTTTAAATTTTTTAAACAAAAAAATAGGAAAATATAGCAAGAAAGTTGCTTTCAATTCAAAGTATTCCTCGATTTGAAGAAGTTATTCAGTCAACTTGTTGCAGTAGCAAAAAAAAAAACGGATTAATGTAAAAAAAAAAAAAAATTTCGATGAAAACTATGAATTAAGAGATGTTTTGCAAGCTTGATGGTTGTCCAATTAAATTGGTTAATTTTCAATTTCAATTTTTGACAATCCAACATAACGTAGTTTTTTGAATGAGTGCAGCATTAGCACCGCTATTAATGCAACATGTGCCTGTATAGATCCTTTCATTTTAGGGGGATCCCAGATTTGAAATTAGTCGTGTTTAGCAATGAGACACTAATCTCTGCTGTATTACAACTATATGCAGAATCAAAATACGAGGATTTCAGGATGCCAAAATTATACAGATAACAACCCTGCTTTTAAAAGCACCACATTTGCGAATTATCGTATTTTTCAACTTTTTCCTCGTCACTGAAAATTATAAAGTATTTAATATATTTGAATAAACGTTGGGGAAAGGAAAAGTTTTTTTAAAATATGCAACAGGGCAACATAGTGGAAATTATTTGTTGGAGTTTTGGTGCAGTTTACAAGCAACAAAACATGAGAAAGCCTTTTATCATCTTTACAAATATCCTAAGTTTTTTAAATTTAAAAAATGTGAACAACTCCTTGATAAACTACATTTAGGTTAGCTTACTCATATTATATATTAAAAATACTTCATTGCCATTTAATTGCAAAGATTTAAAAAATTTTCTGTATCACTTTTTACTTGGAAACATCCTGATCCAACATCGTTTCATCTCTCTTAAGTTCGGGCCTACAATCAAAGTCGTCGGGCAGGTCACAACCCAAATAAGCCTCATTGTCCACGCAATATTTGATACACGAACGCCAACAATGATCTAAATAAAGCAAATGTGGGTTGCCAAAAATGAACATCAGGTAGCGTGCACGCGAAATTGCTACGTTCATGCGTTTGGCGCTTTGTACGAAACCGAGAGCATGACGCAAATCACTGCCGATTAATTGCAGTGAGGAGCGCACTGTTGATATAAGGATGATGTCGCGTTCCTGTAAATGCAGAGTGCGCGTGAATAGGGAAATTAAATTAATCCTCTAATCACAAACCTGGCCCTGGAACTCTTCTACGGAACCGATTTTCGGCATAGCAATATCAGCTTCGATAAAAAGTGTGCGCAAATGCTTCACTTGCTTCATATATGGTGTTATAATGCCGATATTTTCCGGTTGAATGCCTTGACGATATAGCTTGATGGTCATCAAAAACACCTGAAAAAATATTTTTGTATTTTTCACATTTTTATTCTAAACTACTTCATACATTTCTCGCTTCTAGTGGATTAAACCACGATGGTGAATCGGATTCCTGTTTATTTTCGCTGCGAGTGCCATAAAAAAATATTCCATGTGTCTTAGGTCGCTTCTCCGAGACAGGCAGCAGCACATCAAGTTTTTTTAACATATCAGCTTCGCGTGAATTTTTTTCATTGATCATTGGTCGCAGTTCGGAATCGTAGAACAACTCGCTGTATACGTTGAGTATGGACGGTAAGGAACGGTAATTAAAGAGTAATTTGGTGACTAGTCGCGGATCGAAACCGGAAGTGTCGGGGTAACGCATCACGTCGCGTAGGTAGGGTGCACGACCTAGTATGCGTTCGAGTAGTGATAGTGATAAGCCACGCTCCGTTGCAAACCGATTAATTACTATCGCTGACAGCTGATGTGGATCACCGGCCAATATAACTTGACCGCGCTTTTGTGACACTAAACACATGGGCACCATCACTTCGGGTTCAGTGCACTGACCGGACTCATCGATGAGCACATGTGTAAAATGTCCAGGTGGGAAACCCATTTGCAGAAAATTACCAAGTGTAGTGCAAGTGCTGATAGTCAGTCGATGACGGCCGAGGTATTTCATTTGGCAACGTAATTTCATGCCTGATTCAGTCACAATCATCTGTAAAGGAAAAACTGTTACGAAAGTTGTATTCTTTGGGTAAATGTAACTACAAACCGAATCGTCACAAGTGCCTTCGGCAGCCATATCTACGGTAGCACAATAAGGCATAAGATGTTCCGGCACTAGTTCTTTTTCAATTTGATTCTGCGAAACTAAGCGGACAAAATCTCCCGGTTGTAGTTGTTTACTTTCTATTAGACGCGTTGCTATCAAATCCGCTGATCCATTCGAGGGAGTGCCAATAAGTAAACGTGAACTGGGTATGAGTTTAATTAGCTGTAACATGGTTTCGACAAGTGTCATGGTTTTGCCTGTGCCTGGTGGCCCAAATATTACATAAGGTATATTCTGAGCTTCACCTCTCAAAATATTGCGTATGGCGCGCTTTTGTATTGGATTCAACAGCGGATTAAACCATGGACAATGTGTACGTTGCAGCATAAGATTATCGTCACTGTTTAATTCGATTTGAAGTTGTGGCTCCTCACGCGTGTGTACACGTGAAGGGAACAGAAATTGCTCCCCCACATGTTTTATTATACGGTTAACTGCAAAGTGTTGTTTGCGAAAAGCAAATCGGGAATAATAGAATTCCAAACGAAAATCTTCACCGTTATATTTGGACTGAAACCCTTCGTTAAATTTTAACAGTACACGATTAAAAAGAACTTTATGAATTACGCCATCATAGCTACGTTTATCGTCATCATTACTCCATGGATTTATAGCGCGTACCGTGTCACCGATAACGAGTGACGGTCGACGTTCAGATAAATTTTCTATAGTGAGCGACAAAAACTCACCGTCACGTGTGAAATGGGCCCTCTCTCTATCATAATTTCGGAAATTTACAAAATATTCGATTTCTTCTAGAAATACTAGTGTTTGGAATCGTATTGTATAGTTCTTTATGTTGAGCTCCTCTTTCAAACAAGGAAACATGTTTTCCACATTGTATATCATTTCTTGACGGCTCGTCGATGTCAAATAAGCATTACGCAAACGTTCGGGCACCTCATAATAGGCGATCCTAAGTGATAGAAAACGGCGCTTTGTTGCCAAACCTACACCTGGAATGACTTCGCCTTTGTTTGACCACACCTGATTGGCGTAGTAACGAGAGCGCTGTCGTAGATTTTGTGCACTACCGTTTAAGACACTGATTGTGCTATGATTAGGCTGAGCCCGTGCGGCCTCCGCTTCCACTTCGGTCTCACAAACCACTAACGAAATGGAGCGCTTCACGCGGAATGTTTCAAATTTAATAATAAAAATTTCACGTGATTCTCCGTAAAATTTCGATTCTACTTCGAAAACTATTACACGACTACTGTGAGCAGGGATCTCAAACGCGGTATTATCGTGCTCCGGATCAACAAGTTTCACTTGTGAATCTCGTCGGCGTCCTAAAAAATCGATGGAAAGAACGCGCATATTTCGTTCTACATTGTTCTTAATGGTCATATCGATCCGTTTGGTCTGAAAGGTTGCAGAAAAAATGCAACGTGCATCTTCAGAAACAGTGATTGCATGATTGCTTTCTTTTCCTGAATTCAACGCCGAAGGTCTTTCACCGTTACATGGAGTACCTGTTGCGGGAGAGGTAGCCACCTGTTGTATCTTCCGTTCTAATAGAGTTAATTTAACACAACGCCAAATGTATGGATCCTGTAGATATTTAAAAATAAAATTTCTAATTAAAAATGTATATCCTTTTTTTTACGTATGTCTACTTACACGCTCACATTCGATCAGATCTGCCAAAACTATGTCACCGACGTCTAGCTTACAAGCGTTAGGCACAACGTCAAAGGTAAAATAGCAATCATTATTTAGTACTCCCCATTCTGTATTTAAACGTCGCACTTCACATTTTTCTTGTTTTAGTAAACGAGCGGGATGTACACTCACCTCTTGCAGTATTTCACCTTGTCGATTCACGAAATGCTCATCACTTTGTACGTTGCAACATATGAATACACGATCACCTGCTTGTGGTATAAAATCTATTTCTATTGTGTCTAAATTAATGTTCATCAATTTGTGTTCAGTGTCCACAACAATAGCACCCGGCTTACGCTCCATTATAAGCCCAAGAATATTTCTCTGATGTGTATTGAAGAACGTCGGCTTTTCATTGCGTAACTCGGCTATTTGTTGCTCAATCTGAAAGGAAAGAAAGAAAATGTACGCTATTTATTTATATTTATCTAAAGTAAGCACCCAAACCTTCTCTGTGCTTGGCATTGATTCGTCCCAAAATAATTCGGAAACTTCATTGATTTGGACCACTTTTATGTGGTCACTATGAACTTGTTGATATGCCAAATATTTTACATGACAGCCGACCTTAAGTTCACTTGCCAATCCTCCTGCCGCATCGATATCAAAAAATATTGCATGATCAATAGTACCATGGTTGCTTTTTAACGTTGTTATAACTCCTAAAAAATTTTTGTATATGTAAATCTTTAATTAAATAATGTAATATTATCGTTTTCCAAAGACTTACCAAGCCGTTGAAAACATTTATCCTCATCATTACTAGACAAAGTACCATTTTGGGGAGCGTTTATAGATCTTAACACATTTTGCATGTTAAAATTCTCACCCGTTTTGATTTTTTCATTTTCTTCTTTTTCAATTTCCGTGTCTAAATGTCTCTGCTCCTCTTCTAGTTTTACCGCAAATAAACGTTTTTGCTTCTCAGCATCCATAGAGTCCCATAAATTTTTAAAAAATGACAACATTTTTAATTCGAATAGCTTAAGTAATTTTGTCTAAAACTTGGAAGAAATCTTTAGTATTCACTAGGTGATTATAGTGCCTTCCTATCTGCAGATTCATACATCCAGTCTGTCTCACTTATATAATTTAATTCCTTACGGAGGTTTTGTAAACGTTTTTGATACGAGTCAGAAATTGTTTGTTTATAGTCGTCTTCTGTGAGCACTATTGAATGACAGCGTGAAAAAGTTTTATCCGTTTGTGTCTCCGGTTTCTTCACCTACATCAATGCAAACTTGAAACAAACTTCTTTTGGTAAATTTGTACGCTTACTTCTCCACCAATTGCAGTTTCAGATGTACTTGGCAATTCTTCAGTTATATTACCGGGCTGGTGCATGATATAAAAAAACAACTCACGTTTTTACAAGTTATGAGTTGGCGTGAAAACAAAAGTTTAACAAATCCCAACAAATTTCAAATCGGCGTTTATTAGGAAAGAAGCCGGAAAATCTGATTACAACTCTAGAAACGACTAATGAGGAATAATCTGAATTTGAACATAGGGTGCAAAACCAATACCCTCCACACACACTTAGTTAACTATGAGGTGTTTGAATTATTCAAAATAATTTTTTTTTCATATTTCTGAATGCATAAATTGTTTCTAATTTGAAGCTTAATGAACACGTTTTAATGTGAATGCTATACATGCAAGTATTTGATATTAAAATATAAACAATTCTCCTAACCAGCCTGTGTTCAAACCATTCGGAAATATTTTCTACTAGTATATTTTGTTGGTGCAATAAATGTCAAAATACGACACACCATCCAATTGACATTTCAGGCACCACACTTTTCTTTAACCGAGTTACGTGCTTTGCATTTTCTCTGGCTTTGTTATTTGCAAAATATTAAAAACAATATTTATAAATTAACTTGAAGAAATAGTGTTGTAAATTTGGTTTAGAAAATCGATTGAAAGGAACGCTTAACGTTTTAAATAGTAAACAGAGTATAGCAGGAGATCGCAACAGCAGTAAAGTTGATTGAATCGCGGAGTTATTTCGTTTGCATTTACGTGGAGCGGCGGCGGCTGAAGGTGTTGAAATTGCGCGAGGAAAAATGGTTAAGACTAAAAAGGGCAAGAAAGAGATAGCAACCAGCGCGGTTGGAGGCGTTTCGTCCGGTGATGAAATGTAAGTGCACCAGGATGTTTTGGTATGGTGAAGTCCAGGCATATTTTAAAAGTTTATGGCTCCTTAATAACGGCTAAAAACAAGTTTACAATGTCTTAAACAATTTGCTGCGTTGTCAAATCTACATGGGTCGTTAAAAGTTATCTTGCTCTATACGAATATACGAGTACATATGTATATGATTTTTTTGTATTTAAATATTATATGCATATAAGAATGGTTAATAAGTTATTTGTAATTCGCATAAACTTCTAGGGACCAAACTGAGTTGCAAGATGCTAACATCGACTCCGATGCCGAGCAGGACAATGTAAGTCTAAAAAACAAGAAGAATCAACAAAAATCGACAAAAAAGAATAAGAAAATACGAAAAGATTCAGAAGAGGCAGAAGATGAGGTGGATAGCATCACAACTGGTGTTAAGAAATTAGAAATGAAAGGAAAGTCCAAAAACAAAGGCAAACCAAATCAAATTGATTCAGATGATGAAGTAGCCGATGGCAATAAGGTAGAAGAAGCACCAGCAAAATCGAAAAAAGGTAATAAAAAGAAATCTACATTCGAACTACTGGCGGCAGACGATGATGATGAGGACTATGAACCTAACCCTCAGGATAATGAAATATTCGAGGAGGAAGATGAACCAGTTAAACAGTTAAAAAAAGATGGCAAAAATGTTGGTAAAAAGGGTAAAAAATCCAAAAAGGGAAAAGATGATGACGAAGATTTAGATAAAATCTTAGCAGAACTTCAAGCTGAATATGCAGGCGAGACATCAACAACTACCACAAATGTGGTTGCTCCCGATGATTTGGACGACGAAGAATTCACCAAGAAGAAGAAAAATAAAGGCAAACAACAGAAAAGCGCAATTGAAATTTCGGCACCTGAAGCAGATGAAGCTTCTGGTGGTGGTAATGATGATGAGGAAGAAGGTACAGTTAAAACCGCTGCGCAGAAAAAAAGAGAAAAGAAGGAGCGTCAAAAACGGGAGGCAGCTTTGGCTAAACAACGAGGGGCACCACAAACGAAGTCAGATATTGTGGAAAATGCAGAAGAAATCACTGAGGCTGGAGATTTGGCAGAAAAGACTGAAGATAAAGAGGTACCACCCCAAGCTGAAGTTGGTAGTGGGGGTAACGAAGAAGACGGTGCGATTGTAGAAGAAGAGTCTGCAAAGGATAAAAAGAACAAGAAGAAAGGTAAAAAGGATAAAAAGACCGAAGATGAAGAACCCAAGAAGGATAGTAAAAAGAAGGGAATGTCCGCGGCTATGGTGGCTGCTATGCAAGAACGCTTAAAACAAATTAAAGAGGAAGAAGAGCGACAGCAACGATTGGAAGAAGAACGATTAAAGCAAGAAGAAGAACGGGAGCGACTTCGTTTGGAAGCCATAAGGCTGGAAGCTGAGCGCAAAGAAAAGAAAAAGCAAAAAGAAGCGGAAAGAAAAGCCCGACTTAAAGCAGAAGGTAAACTTCTTACCAAGAAACAAAAAGAAGAACGAGCACGAGCACAAGCTATGTTAGAAGCTTTGAAAGCCCAAGGTCTCGAAATACCCGATCCAACTGAAAAGAGGGCAACAAGATTAGGTAAAATTGTAATGTATTTTATTGATCTTAGCTCATTGTGCGTTTTTGGCTTTGTAGGTACACGCATTCGTCCAAAGAAGAAAGGACCTGCCAAAGACGAACAAGCTGAAGCTGAAGCCAAGGCTGCTGAGGAAGCCGCCGCAGCTGCAAATGCCCAACAAGAGTCATCTGAAAAGAAGGAAGTTGTTAAAGAGTCTTGGGATGCCAGCGATTCGGAAGAAGATGCCAATGGCGATGACGATACATCCCAAGCTACTACTACTACCACAAATAATGACGAAAAGTCTAATAGTGGTGGAGAGGCTGCAGTTTCAGCCACTGTTGAAAATGCTGAAGAATCATCCGCTGATGAATCTGAAGATGATGAAGAGTCGGAAAGTGAATCTGAAGGCTCGGCTTCTGAATCTGAAAAAGAAGAAGCCATTAATACTAATGACGCGGAGGCTCGTCGGTTACGTGCTGAAGCTCGTATTATAAAGCGTCAGGATGATGCAGAGAAAAAGCGTACTGTAGAGGATTTGCGGGCCGCTGTAGTATGCGTACTCGGTCATGTCGATACGGGAAAAACAAAAATTTTAGACAAGTTGCGTCGTACTCATGTGCAGGATTCCGAAGCTGGTGGCATTACGCAACAGATCGGCGCAACAAATGTTCCAATCGATGCAATAAAAGAACAAACTAAACCTGTTTTTAATGCATCAAGTTTCGAATTTAAGTTGCCTGGTTTACTGATCATCGATACCCCTGGGCACGAATCGTTCAGTAATCTCAGAAATCGAGGATCATCACTCTGTGATATAGCTATTTTGGTGGTAGATATTATGCACGGCCTGGAGCCTCAAACCATCGAATCAATTAATTTACTTAAAAAAAAGAAGTGTCCGTTCATTGTAGCACTAAATAAAATTGATCGATTATATGATTGGAAGGTGATGGCGCGTCGAGACGTTCGTGATGTACTAAAGGAACAACAAGCTAATACACAGCTGGAGTTCAAGCAACGTTTAAAGGATGTAATTCTCCAGTTTGCTGAACAAGGTCTGAATGCTGCACTTTTCTATGAAAATCCTGATCCGAAAACTTATGTTTCATTGGTACCAACCAGTGCAATAACTGGCGAAGGTATGGGCAATTTACTGTTTCTCATTGTGGAGTTCTGCCAAAAGATGTTGTCAAAACGTTTAATGTACTCGGAAGAGCTCCAGGCAACAGTATTGGAAGTTAAGGCAATTCCGGGTCTTGGCACTACCATCGATGCCATTTTAATAAATGGTAAACTTAGAGAAGGTCAAACGATGATATTGGCTGGTACAGATGGTCCAATCGTTACGCAAATACGCTCGCTTCTCATGCCTCAACCAATGAAGGAGTTGCGTGTAAAGAATGCCTATATTGAACACAAAGAAGTAAAGGCTGCACAAGGTGTTAAAATTGCAGCAAAGGATTTAGAAAAAGCAATTGCTGGAATCAATCTGCTTATAGCAAACAAACCGGATGAGGTGGAAATTTGCAAGTAATTATTTTGAAATAAGTTTTATTTTTTCGATTAAATCACTAAGAAACATTAAACGTTTGCAGGGAGGAAGTTGCGAAAGATTTAAAGAGCGCTTTAAGTCATATAAAACTAGCACAAACAGGTGTGTATGTGCAAGCTTCAACTCTGGGCTCGCTAGAAGCTTTGCTAGAGTTCTTAAGAACATCTAAAATTCCGGTAAGTTTTACATATTACATTGTATATGGTATATGACTGATATTTTCATATATAACTATTAATTATTTTCATAAAACAGCTATTTGACTTATGATTATGATTATTAAAAAATAACTAATATGCATACATAATATTCCAATATTAAAACTATTTTTATATACTTACATATCTCTATTGTAGTAGTTAGAGACATTATTACTCGGAAGTACTGATAAGTTAAATTGTAGGAAAGCCAACCGGTTAATTTTTTACATATATGTTTAGTTAAAAATTCTAATATAATTAAAGAAATACTCTACATAATTTAACTATATGTAATATAAATTTTGTTTTAGCAGGTGATTAGAAGTAAAAATGAATTTTGAGACATTGATAATGGTATTAGTGGTAGAACTAAAGAGATATCGTTATTTGTAAGCGGTATGTTCAATGCGTTTTAATAATTGAGTCATATATTAAAAAAGTGGCATCACTGATTGATACGTACACAATAATCAGCTGTTTATAACGCTGTATAACAGTCTGACTTTACAAATAGATTGAGCGAAATGTGCTGCCGAAATTGAACGAAAATAATTGTCTGCCATTAAGCATTAAATTTGAATTTAGAGTGAGTTTGAAATGTATTCGTAATTTACGTGATAATATTTATTTTATGCACAGGTGCGGTACTTGCTCTATTCTTGAAGATGTACTCAAAAGCTTCGAAGTAGCCTGTTATATTTGCCTTATTGATTGGGCTTCCAGCAAGCAATTGACAAATTTACTTTAATAGGTGGTACCTGGTATAATGAATGCTTTTTATTACTGCTGTGTTACTTATGTTTGCTTTTTTATGCGGCTAAATAGGTTTGGGTATTTTCAGCATTTGGTGCATAGAGACCTTTCACTTGAATGCGAAGGAATTTTATATGTTTATCCATTAGGTTTCGAAATTGCTATTCATATCAGTACGGTTTATCGCATGTCAGAATAGAGTTGATCAGAAGTAAAAGTTGTGATTGATCTAAAAAATAGAATAACCAATTTTTTTTTTGAAACACCATATAATAGGCGCCGCCATTTCGCCGCTAATAAAATCACGGTTGCATATAAGTCGATATTTGTTTTTGGAAAAATTATTGTCAATTCTTACGCAAAAATGTTCTTGTTAATTCTTAAAACTTAATGTGTAATTGTCCCGTATTTATATCCGAAAAGTGCTTATAAGTTAGTAGTTGATTAAAAAACACAAATCCAATTGA